CTGTAGCAGAGGAACTAGGGCTAGGCCTACTACCATTGCCAGAATGAAAGAAGGCCCGGCCGGGATACCTACAGTAGTAGAGGCTAGGCTACTACTACTAGGAGACTAGAGTACTAGAGCAGAGCAGAGAGGGAGCATAGACTAGCCTTAAACTAGGGAGGGCCCTATAATATAAAGGTGCAACTAGACTAGTCCTATCAATAATTAACAATGCAAGCGGTAGTATAATGTTATAAAATTACAGCATAATTAAACATACTGAAAAGACAAGATTCTGTGTTACCTTTCAATATTTTCAGACGCCATGATTCGCTAAAGCGTATGGTGTAAGTTCACAATAAAGTTTGAAGTTCAAAGGGTAGAAAATAAAATCATTATGAAAATTAACCGGGGCCAAATATAATAATTATTATAAATAAACAATTTTTAAAAAATCTTCAAAATATTGTTCATTAAAAAAATATTATTATATTTAATAAATAGTATTGATAGGAATAAAGAAATTATCAGTACTTTTGTCATTAAAATTAAGAAATGGTACGGAAGAGGGATGACTCATTTACTTGATGCATTGTGGGTAATCATTGAAAAAAAACATGAACACCACCACCTTGTGCACTTCGAGAAAAACAATCAGAAAATTTTGACAGAGGCCAGCTGAGATTAGAGAAGGTTGTAAGGCTTTTGGGAAAACTCGAGGAAAAGATATTTATACTGTTGGTAAAGCTATTATGAGATGGGTGCAAACTAATCGGAAAATCAAAACAACTTAATCTTCTGAAGTATATAATTAAGGATAAGCAATGAAGAAGCTATTTTCCAACGCAATTGGAAAGGTCTTTACTTTCAGCAGGGACCAAGTTACTGTCGAGGACATAATTGCTGAAGGTAAACTGCCTGCTACAGTATAAAGACAAGTATCTGCCTAGCTAGCTAGGCCTGGTAGTTTCATGTTTAATTATTGTTAATGTATCTACTATAATTATTATCATTCACCAGAAGAATATCGTAGTACAGTAATCAAATTTTGATATCTGAATCATCTCAGTAGGCTAGCCTACGTGCAGTACAGTAATACAGTACATTCAATCGAAGCCTAGGCTAGGCCTAGCCTAGCTAGGAACTAAAATTAGCCTAATAATAAATAAAAATGATTTGGCCTAGGTAGGGTAGCCTAGGCCTAATTTTTTTTTTAAATAGGTCCTACCACAGCACAGTATGTACCTAGGCCTAGAGTGTATTAAAGTAGTACCTAGCTAGGCTTGCCTCTACTTTAGGCTAGGCCCCTAGGCTAGTCTATGTTATTGTTACCGCCTAGCTAGATGTTTTTTAATATATTATCATTGTTCTAGAATCTAGGCCTAGTGAATATTACAATTTTTCCAGTTGTTTTCATTGTATAACATTATTATATATTTGACAGTTTGAATTAATTTATAATTATTATGATCAAAAAGATAATAATACTTACAGATAGCCCATACTGTGTGTAAAGTAATTTAATTGCGAGGAAATACCTCAAAAACTAACTGAAATTTGCACCGAAAATTGCCAGAAAATAAACGTGCAGAGTCGTAAATTACTGCATACCTGGTTAAAGAGATAGGGCAAAGTCAAATTTTCAACAATTTCTGCTCAGAAATATCCGCTTATTTTCTGAAATGAGCGAATAGATTTTTAGGCCTAAATTTTGCACAGAGGATACAGGTTGTATATGCAGACTTTAAGTGATTTACATATTTACTAAATTTTCCATTTAATTGCCTTAAGGCCAGAATAGGAATGGTATGTGTCTGTAGAGAACTTTTTTTTGTCAATCTCATTTTCCAATTGAAAATAAATTATGAAGTAAATAATTCATACATGCCTGTTATTCATGTTCATTGAATGTGGACAGTACAATTTAAGGAAAAATATTTGCTGTTTTTGGCCTAGTAATGAACAGTTTGTTCATTTTTGTACAGTTTTTTCAGTTTATTACATTTCTTGCTATTCTGGTTTTCCCATTGTGCCATGTTTGTAGTTAATTTGATGAGATAAACTTGCTTGAGTTTGAGAATCAGATCATAATTATATATACTGTAAGCTGTGTTTACAATGGTTGGAGAGATATTAAAGACCTGTTACAGTGTTAGTGAAAAGTCTAAATCTTTAATCCGAATCAAGGTTTAATTTTAAGATTGTAAATTGTGTACATTAGTTTTTACATTCTTGTATAGCTCTCCATATGAAGTTTTATGTTGCTCATAGCATTCGTTGTGTAAGTTTGTTATCTGCACTTAAAATTCTTTTGCCATTCCGATGTACATTTGCTAAATAGTTGGCAGTGTTTATAGGCCTAGCCATTACCATGAACGTTTCAAAATTCCATCACATTTTTATAGTTGATGGTGCGTCGCCATTGTTGGCTAAGTTAACGGAGTCTTAGTAATTAAAAGCCTAACTTGCCTTTTAACCACACTCTGTTTTTGCTTTTACCACAAGTAAAAAAACTCATCAAGACTATCTAAATAAAGAAGATGAGATGGCAAGAAAGAAATTCTCAGAGAAATGGTTCTGTCAAAAGCAAGGTGGAATGGGAAAATAAAAATACATATTTATTTTTAAAAATATCTGTACTGAAGACAATATATTCATAGTTCTCTTGAATACTGTAGTTTTATACTGTTATTAGGGAACAGTATTTAGGTTATCGTTTGCTGTCCTACAGTAGGCTTGTTTGAGTATCTGTGCAAGTAATTTCTAGTACAAATGTTTCGAGAGAAACTGCTTACAGTAACTTTGCATTCCTCTATTTAGAAAATTCTGGATGAAAAAGCAAGTATAGACCTACAGTACATGCACTACTGCAGTAACTATATAGTTAGACATTGCTATAGTACCTTGATATAATTACTAAAGTCAACCACAGTGTTATTATAGTAGAAAGAAAAATCTCCTGAGAATCAAGGATTTTTTTTTTATTTGGACTTAATTGTTTATTATATCCTGTGCTATATTTCTTTGTTCTACTGTTTTATCAGACTAAATTATTTCCTTGACCTTGGGTATTATCATGTAGTTATTGAAAGTAATTCTTGATGTTCTTGTTTCAGTTAATTTTTACCCAGTTCACCTGTAGTTCAAATAAATTGACCTCTTAGGGTGCACATGGAGCAAAAATGAGCTCTGAAATTGGCATGATTTGTCTCGTGTCAATTTTATAGAAATAGCATCGACGCTTCAATCGTTTGCACGGCATGCCTAGCCAAGTGCTTCCTGTAGACACTGATCAAGCCTAGTGCAATACCAATAGTCTTCCTGTTTTTCTCATAACTTTCAGTGGGACATGCAAAGGTGTATAACTGCTTTCTCTACGTGGCTAGGATGGAGAGTAGACCTATCATAAAATATTTTGATAATAACAGTGGCGGATTTGGGGGAGGGGCAGCTGGCCCTTGTGTGCCCCTACCCCCTCCAAATTTAAAAAAATGATAGATAATATAGAGAATAAAAGAAAGTTATATACAGTAGTTCAAATTTAAGTCTGAGAGGTATCATACTGTAAGCATAAATTTAATTATACCTCAGTCCCAACCATGGTGGGGAGATGGTCCCACCACCTCATTTCCAAGTACTATAAGTTCCCTCATCTGTAAAAGTCCTTCCCTGGGCCCCCTCTCTTTCAAATTCCTGGATTTGCTACTGTGTAAAATAACTCATATTTTTAAGATAGCACTGTACAGTATAATAGGTTTGCTTGGGTTTAATACATTTTCAAAGGTTGTCAAAGTGTTTTCAATGCAATATCATGCATTACCTCTACAGACATTTTTTGACATATAAATGGTATTTAAAACGGTGATGATGGTGTTAATAATGATAATAATGTTAACACTATTCTGAAAACATGTTTTATGGTTGTCTATTGGCATTCAATTATAAACTCAGAGGTCCTAGTCTAAGGAAATTTAAAAGATCCACTCATATTTTTTAATTTGGAAATGGGATTCATACATTATTTATAATAAAATGGCCACAGTTATCAATCAATTTGCTTATTTGATAATATGAAAAACAATGTTTACATAAAAGTCTAAGCATAAAAGTTTGTTTTTTAATAACAGTTTGTATGAACATAAAGATAGTGATTGATTATATTTTTTCTATTATTTTCTTAATAGGTGGCTTTGCTATTGTGTTCCTGGTAAAGGGCAGGTCGGGCAAGCACTATGCTCTTAAAAGAATATACGTCAACAACGAGCATGATTTGAATATTTGTAAGCGGGAAATCAAAATAATGGTAGGTACTATAAGGCATAACAACGTTTCAATAACTTTAGCATGAAAGATCTAATGCTCAAGTTGATAATGGTGAAGTGAGCTACCATAAAACCTCAAATTCAAGCCCTGGGCTTTTCTTTATTTTGCAAATTTTAGATAGGCTTCTTTTGGAGGCTATTTTTCCAAAGTAATGAGGGGAGGGGGCTTATTTTCAAAGTGAATGCTGTAAATTTTGGGAATTATACTATAATAAAACAATAAATAAGGCCAACCTATGACATCACTCTATATCATGGAGCGTGTGAACAGGCATTAAATCATCTAAATTACTGTATAAACAAAGCATGTTTTTTATAATTTATTTATTTTTTTTTGTTTTTGAAATTCATGTAGTGTACTGTATGTAATGTACTATCTTGAAAAAAGGCCCATGCTCTCTTGTAAAGAAGCCCATGGGCCTCTTTTCGAGATGGGCTTCTTTCCGAGGCTACATTTGCAAACTACAGTAAACAGATGGGGCTCCAATTCGAGATGGGCTTTTTCTCGAGATTAAGCCCATTGGGCTTCTATTCGAGGCTTTGCGGTAGTTAAATTTGCCGGGGATAGTGCTACAGTAGTACCTCACTTCCTCGGGTATAAACCGACCGCAGGTATAATAAGCCAACTCTGTACTTTTGTACCATCCTTTCCTCAGGCACCAATCACATTAGATCTGAAAAGCTAACAGCCTTTTTATTTTTTGTGGTGTCGTGCTCTGACCAAGGAAACCGCTTCATTGAATATAGACTTGATGACATCATCTCCTTGATTGTTATTGCCCTGGGAACTGTCTGTCATTTTTAGGTGCTTCCATCGCATTCACTATTGAAATTCATTCAACACAACTCTTAAAATAGTGAATAATAACCTTGGCTAGAAAGTCCAGATGGCTACCTACTCTAAAAAACAAATTTATTGTAGCCATATTTATGTATAACTGTAGATTTGTGTATTATACAGAAATATCAAAAATAATTTTTTGATAAATATTGATAACAAGGAAGCTACCAGTGTACAGTATAAAGTGTGTATGGTAGCCTGATTTTCAGTTTGTGCTTTATTATGTGCATGGAGGAAGAAAATAATTTCTGTCTTCATGCTATATGTAAACAAGGAAAGCAGTTGAATTATAGGCCATAGATAAACAATTGATTAGATTTTATAGCCTAGTTCACACTAAACAATTACGATCCTAATCAAAGACCAAACCACCTTACTCTACCAATCACAATGCATGTGTGAGAACAACAACATATCGGTTTAAGCTCCAACCATGTTTTAACCATTATCTGTGTCCTAAGCTAATGTTAGCAGTTTGGCCTTTATTTCATTAACAACAAATCAGCTGTTAGAATTTTCGAGGTGTCAACTCAGGGTTCGAGGTTAAAATTTCCCCGCAATTTTTGTGGATTATTTCAATAACATGTTTCGATTCAAGTCAATAAATCTTCCTTTGTTAATTATAATCTATTTTTTTACTATGGTGAATGGCACAACACAGGTGGGCGGATCACAAGATATAACCTGCTGATTTTCACCAATTTCTGTTGTTGTGATTTTGTTATTACAAAACGGGTTTGGCACAACTTGAGTTGGTGAAATAAAGTTTTAAAAATGTTTTTGTTGTATACTCTCATGTTTAACCAAAAATGTGTGCCTTCTGTTTGACTTAATTTTGAGCTACAGTCAGGACACGTGAACAGGCGTGTCACCAGCCTTTATCTACAGTGCTGTGTGAACATTATTATTATTTTAAATCGCTTTAAACACTTCAAATTAAATTTCACTCAAGCCGGTTGATGGTCAGCTTTAGACAAAATTTAACCTTCTGGTATTTGACTAAATATATGTGAGTGTGCTTGTACTGTAGGTGTGATCTTTGTCTTGTTTTTATTGGGCCTATTAGTATTATTATATGTAGCAAAACACTTATTAACATTATAAGTCAATCGTGATGTCATCAGTGCAACTCCTATGTTATTTGCCTGTTCCCCACCGTCCATTAATTTTTCAATTAGTGGACGCTTGGCTTGATTTTTTTAAGTTTATGTGCAAAAAAAATTCCTCATTTTTTTGTCACCGCAAAGACATCGTGCACCGCGATAAAAATTGAATTGTAATTGAAAATTACTTTTTGTAAAACACGGTTAATTAGAACCCTAAGAAAGTTACTTTAAATTCAATATTAAGTATAAACAATTAAGCAATTCCTTGAATCAATGAACCCTAATAATCTAAACAAACTTAACATATAAGAATATTCTAGACCTATTTTGAAGACTCAGAGAACGAAATTAGATGTACCTGTAGAGCCGCCGAGGCTTCTTCCCAAGATTTTTACCTGTCTGCACCGACCAAAAAGTTAGTGACAGTGACTGTATTCTCTCTTGAATGCTTTGAAAAATGTTTATTTCTTTGAGGAATGAGAAAAATTACAAACAAGTTCTAACACAAATAAATTACAAAATAGCGTACAGTAGGCCTATTTCATCGTATCAGATGAGTACTTAACGCGTAGGCTCTGCCTACTTCAGGAGCACAAATCAGCATACGCACAAAATATAAATACGCACACAGTATACTGATTATATCACTATAGCAACCGATGACTTGTACAACACAGTTGGTTATAAAAACTAACATTGAAAGATGGCGATTGACTTACAAATCAATTAGTAGAGCATGCATCATACACTTGTGGAAAATTATTATACTTAGGTTAGATTTAATGCATTTAAAAATTTCCTTCGGGCCTTGTACTGTAGGCCCTCAGGAAATTTTTTCAAGCATTAAATCTAACCTTCATATAATAATTTTCCTGTAGTGTACTATGCAGAGCTCTACTACTGTAATTGCTTATTAGAAAACGTTAACAATACGTTTTTCAAGCTTTTATTTTCCAAAATTTATATTGATTATCCCATTGTTTGCTTTGTACTGTACACCCTGTTCTTCACGTCTTTACTTATTTACTATTTACTCTCCTTGGCCTAATTAAGTTCTAGGTTGATGCTAATCTTTGGAGTAAAAAATATGAATCTAATATTCTTAACACGAGTCTATAAACTAATATAAAAAATTGAAAATTAAAATAGCATGGCTTAATGCAATTATAATAAGTTTAGATGTAACATGGAGGTATAAAAATATTATATATATATATATATATATATATTTATACCTCCATGGATATAAACAACATTCATTATAGGCCATCTGTTACCTGGAGGTCAATGACATCCAAACGCCTACTGTGATAGTAAATTTGATAGTTTATTATAATTATAAGTCTATCAGTACTACAACAAATCTCAATTGTACAATCAATGTCAGTTCACACTGAAAATAATACATAAACATGCAGGACTATATTATAATGTGAGCTCACTATAAATTTCAATATTAACATACAGGACAATACTGTATTTTAATACTGCAAATTTACTGTGTATAATGTGTTTGAAAGAGGCCTTAAAAATATTACACAAGACAGAAAAACAGCTTGTATTTAAAATTGATATTGCAGCCATTACAAAGATGGGATTTTATGTTTTTTTATCCAAGTATATCAATCATTGCTAAGTACAACCAGCATATATTAATGATTTATAGATAATGTGTTCCCTTGTGACTTTGATTTACTGTTTATAGTTAGTTGTGTTTTTCTTCCTTCCTATCCTAGAAAAATTGCCATGCTTTTTATTAAAGCAGAAAATTACAGTACTCAAATCTTCTTAGAACAGTTACTAGGCCTATTATCATGTGTAATCACAAATTTCATTGTGCATTGTTGGCTTAAAGGTTAAATTTGGACATGTCTACTATTTATTCAAATGCATGCTCATGTTATATAAATATTTTCCAATCAAACAGCCTTTCCCTTGGTGAATATTTTATATATTTATCCAAATCTCAAGCACGAGCAGCGGTACATATATTGCCAGAGTAAAGGCATTCTTAGTCTTGGTTGAATCCATTGGGACTATATTAGGCTTGGGAGAAGAGTTGTTTTTCTTACGGTTATAGTATAATTCCTGGTATTGTGAAAGGTACAATTTATAAATTAACTTTGTACCAGCCCACAGTTTTTACACTCTATAATATTTAATTAATAAGAAACCAGATTCTGCCATTCAAGTCCATAATTAACATTTCCAATGCTTTCTAGAGTATTATCTGCGGTATATTTTATTAATGATATAGTGTTGCTTGCCACTACTGTTCAGTAGCATGAATGTCACCAACCACGAATGTCAACCTTTCACCTAAAAAATGCATCTCATTCATTTGCTGCATACAGAATAATTTCAAATTATGATTTTAACCACATCACACGTTATATAGTATTCTCAATAAAATTGGATTCCTTTTGAAATTTTCCCTTGTTTGTTTGCTATTAGAAATATGATTGTTTACGCTTGAGCACAAAAGAGTAGAGAGCACAGAAGAGTATGAGAGCAGCAAGACGAAGAGGAAGCCAACCAATTAATGCACTGCTGTATAATAATAAACTCACTTGATGTTTAATTAAGCCTGTAATAGAGAATATGGAGTACAGGTCTCCGTCTAATTCAAGACCACGCTTTTTTGTAACTCCCAAATTAACAAACATCTTTTATCTTAATTACAGTATCCTATTAGAGACCAAATGCTGCTACAGAACATGGAAACTCCCTGGTCCCAAAAGGAGTCTTTAATAGGGAGACATGTATTTGTCATTGGCTTTTGCCATTTCTTATTCAAACAATCAACTCTGTTTCTACAGTACTTGTAGTAGTGCTCAAAAATTACCAAATATATTAATACAGATACTGTACGGGTTTAACAACTCTGAAAACGATTGCCTTACTACTAACTATACTTATATTAGATCTCAGTATGTGAATTTGTATACAGTAGTACGTGTGTACAGAAAGTTTTGACAACCAGACTATAAAGTACAAGTTTGTTTACAATTTCTTCTACTATTTCTAATTTTTTGCTATATATTACTAATTTTTCCTTGTAATTTCTCACTTTGTCTTGCTTTGTTCCAGCATCATTGCACACCTAATTGCTCATTACAGTATAGTATTTATTATCACCGATATTATTGTTCAAGGTAATTTTTTTAAAAAGCGTAACAGCGATACAAATTGTCCCGTGTGAAGTACGCTATAAGGCTGGATAATGGCGAAATATTAATGTAATGTTTTTCTTATAAATTTTTTATCCAAATCTGTGTGTGTTACTAGATTTTATATTAATCAGTACCTTATACATTTTCCTCTTGTCCCACTCTTCATGAAATTGTAAAAAAAAAATAATTAATAAATATATTTGTCAGTATCCTTGTGGAAGAAAGCAAAACAAAAATGAAAATGTTTGAAAAATAATTCTGTTAGTTCTCTGACCTCTTCTACCCTATATACTATTACTCTTTCCACAGAATAATACAAAATTATCATGATCATTTAATTCAAGTAGGTACAGTAAATTGGTTGTTTGTAATATATTGTACAACTCCTGCAGTACATTAGACATACTGTACAGTATTCCAAATAAGAATGTTAAACTCTTTGAATTTTTTTTTTATGAAACATAATGCGGGCATCATTATCTGCAATTAAACTCTGTAATGCTGTACTGTAACATGTAAAAATCTAAATCACTTTCAACCATTGCTTTTGATCATTATTAAACAAAAGTACTGAATTACATTACCACATCTAACCCACTATTTGTGATGTAAAATACATAATACTGCTTGTTCCGTGGACTCGCGCTAACTGACGGCCACAATGCTAAGTTTTCAAATGATGTTAGCATTTTTGGTTGTGTGTGTCAAGAGTTTAATGTCAACAGAAAAATGACCTTGGAGTTATCTGGAATGCTAATTGTTTAGTGTTGTTTGTGACCATACAAAAGAAAAACTCTTTAATTGATACTGTACTACAGTATAGCACTTCAGAGATGTAGTTTTAGTGGGCAGGGGACAACCGGCCTCGAATATTTTCACCCAGTCGTCACCTTATTTCTTGGCCCTCCACCCACTTGAAATGACTTCCACACACACTTGTGGTTGTTTCCTACAGCTACAACCCTACACTTGGATTTACCACAAAACTTATACACTAGTCTAGTGGCTGGTTACAACATTCAACATCTTGTAGCAAACAAATAGTCCAGGGTTCAAGTTTGTTGAATTCCCATTTTTGGTCAGATGTTCCATTCAATGAAAATCCGGAATTTGTTGTGTTTACCGAGTATAGTACTATGCAGTTGGTATTGTTGAAGCTGCTGTACTGATTTTTACTTTAGGCGAGACTTTTTTTGTACCGTGTTTAATGAACCTGCTGCCCGCCAATAATGATGATTTCGAATAATTAAATAAAATGTTATTATTGACCAATTAGCACACCTACCGCCACAAAAATAGAAATTTCAGAAAAAAATGAAAGTTTTCTTTATTGTTATTGTGCCTGCTGATGCCTTGAAATCTCCAAAAGTAAGATGCATATTTCTTCCTAATTATGTAAATCTAGAGTTCATTCTGTTTGCATTCACATTTCATATTTCCTCGTCCATGTGGATGTTTTTGGCAAACTATTTGCTAAATAAGAAAACAAAATTTTATTTTCATTTTTTTCCTGTGTCCTCTGACGACCTTTAAAAAAATAAGTTTGTGAAAGAAGGTATAAAAAAAGTTTCGTCCTCACGGTACCTTTTTCCTCTACTACCAGGTCATAAACTTCGTTTTGAGAGATTAAAAAAAAAATGTTTATAACGAAATGAATGATCATTATTTTTTTGTAGAGCCTGACCATTTTTTATATGGAGGATATAAAGTGGTTTATGAAATTTGTTTTTGCATGAATTGAGATTTTCCAATAAACATTGTGGTTTTATGTTAGAAAGATTGAATCTTTATTGTGCTATGTGGGATTAACTATGGCTTGGCAGCTGCTCAACTCAGTCAAACCACAGTGCAGGCTGTTGTCTTGCATAGCTTTAGCAAGCGGCATATGATTCTGTCTGAGATACTGGCTCAGTGTTACAGTACAGTATATAGAAACAAATATATTTTATAAGAATATTAATTAATTGAGATTTTTAATTTTACATGCTACAAAATATCTTTAATAATAATAATAATAATAATAATAATGTTATATTTTTATAACACATTGCACATGGCCCCTATGCGCTAATAGACCGAAATATTTTAGGCCAACCGAAAAAATACAAATAACAATGAAATAACAACAATAAAATAATAATAAAAAGGTAATTATCATAACAATGAGGCTATTAAAACTACTCCTATTTCTTAAACTAGTTGGCCGTTGAGGAGCCCTTTGTTCAGCTATTGGTTTTTCTTGCTGCTGGGGGACCACAAACACCGTCCCCTCAGCAACCACTAAGGCCTAGTACTGTAAGTCCATTAAGTGTAAAAACTTTCTTACCAATTTGAAAAAATGTCTACTATTGTAAAAAAAAAGTGTTATCAATCTCATAAACATAAAAGATTATTAATGATTATATAAGAAATTATGCAATTTATCACATGACTAAAATTTGTATTTATACATTTTTGTTTATACAGTAAGTAGCTATGTGGTCATGTGGTTAGTATGGTATTACAATGTGTTTTTCATAAAATTTCATTAATATGAATTCCAGAATGTAACAATGAAACCAGACTCTATATTTACTCTTTGATTTATTCCACAGTCCACACTGACAGGACACAAGAATATAATCCCATATGTTGACTCATCCATCACCAAGACAAGTAATGGGATCTATGAAGTTCTCATCCTTATGGAATATTGTAAAGGTAAGCATGAATATTCATTAACTTAATATGCAAATCATACAGTACTACAAGAGGATATTATTTGCCCTAAACAAGGATATAGTATGGTCAGACTTATATTTAAAAGGTTAATTGAAACAAAAAACATAAAATGATATATCTCTGGTTTTTTGTTTGTTTGTTTGTTTGTTTTGTTTTTTTTTGTAACATTTATGAGATTTCTATTATTTAAATTGTATTGTACATATTCATCAATAGGTTTTTGAAGATAACAAATAAAGATATGATTTCATTTATTCAACATCTTACAAGAATCAGTTTTAGAGGTACACAGGATAGTGTTTATAAGAAAAATTCTGACATTTGGAAGGAATATTACTCATGCACTTGAAGACAAGTACCATAATAATAATAATACATTTCTTTATATATACTGTAGCGCAAACATATCTGACAACATCTTAATGCACTTTACAAAATTTAAAATTTATAATTTTAACTAAAATACATTCCAACAAACCATTCAAATTTAAACACAATTTCACAATTTAAAATGTCATAAAAATTATAAAAATATTGTACAATTTTCAGTTAAAAAAGCAATTTCATAACCATTGTTATTTAGTTTCAATGCTTGGAAAGAGAAGTTGCTTTTATTTTTTAAGAAAAGATTTGAACCAAATGCCTTGAAATTGGAAGGTGAGCATTTTAACCACCAGACCACATCTGAACTCTCATTTTAAAGAACCATCACAATTTTCATCTCACAAGCAACATACAGTGCTGTTATTAATGTGGAATGAACTAAGTAGTAATTTGCCAACAGAGTACATGAGTAACAACATTGTCAACAATTATAGCATGCCTGCAGTATCTACACAAATTGGCAATCTAATCATTTCTTTAAAAAATATGCTCTTGCATACAGATGGTCATGTTGTACAGTTGATGAATGAGCGCTTAAATGTCGGCTTCATGGAATCGGAAGTTCTTAAAATATTCTGTGACGTCACTGAAGCTGTGTCGCGTTTGCATCACTGTCAGACTCCTATTATACACAGGGATTTGAAGGTAAGGTCATCAACCTCAATCTGGTTCTTCATCTTAACTCGCATCCTGTTAAGATGAAAGAGAGGTCTTATGACTGAGTGGATTCTTAACGATTGTTTGTATATGTACTAGTAATGTGCTATACTTTGAGAAAAACAACATGCGATGACTTAATCAGAAATTCCAAGGGAGTACTGTATACCAGCAGCCTGGTAGCTTACAGTAGCTATTAAGCTGAAATGTAGGGCCTATTGTTGCTATTGCTTGTTCTGAAGACCCCGGTTAAAACCCAGCCAGTGTTGGGTTTTAATAGGAGTCTGACCGCTTGGCTCCTCAAATAACCCTCATATTGGGAGTTAAGCGGGTTAAGGACAATGTTTGTGTCAGTATGGTGTAATTAAGTTGGGTTGCACTGTACCGCAGCTGCTGCTGTGGCTCCCTAGGGCGAAACCCAAATTTCCGATTTCCTATTAGAATGAGGACCAATAAAGAGTTGTTGTTGTTGTTGTTGTTGTTGTTGTTGTTGTTGTTGTTGTTGTTGTTGTTGTTGTTGTTTTTTTTTGTTTTTTTTTGTTGTTGCTGTTGTTTCTTGAGTGTAAATCCCAATGGAGTCCATGTTTTTTTTTTTTAACATACTGTATTGAAACATCTTAGAACCTTAGTAAGGAATAACTCCATACCAAGTATATTACATTATCACCTGAGTACTATGCAACACTTTGAAAAAACATGTGATGACCTATGGGAAAATCCAAGGGAGTATACAGTACCAGTGGCCCAATACAGTAGCTCAGCTGATATAGCAACTAAATGATAGGAGGTCAAATCCCATTGTGGTTAATGTTTTCCTTAACATTATATAAACATCTTTTATCTCCATACCACTTTAATACCAGATTAAATATCTTTGATTTTCTGACCATCTTTGGAATGAGATCTTTGACCCTCCCAATATTTCAATCTCAATAAAACTGTTCAGAATTTCTGAAGCCTGATACCTTGCAGTATAAAGAAAAACCCCATTCCCCCCCCCCCCCCACTCCTATCTTGCCAAAAGATTTAAAGTAAATCTATGTGTAGTGAATAAGTTCATTGTGAAGATTTGCTTCTTACTCTGAAGGGAAAACAATTCTATTTCTGAATTTAGCATAGATTCTGTCTTTGTAGACAACAAATTTATATTCACACACTGCTATTGTAAATATTTTTGTTTTCTTTTGACCAGGTTGAGAATGTGCATACCTTGCAATACAGTATAAGAAAAACCCCTCACTCCCCTCACTAATATCTTGCCAAATAGTTTACAGTAAATCTGTGTAGTGATTAAGTTCATTATGAAGATTTATTTCTTAATCTAAGGTGAAAACAATTCTATTTCGGAATTTTGGATAGATTTTGTCTATTTTTTAGACAACAAATTTATATTCACACACTGCTATTGTAAATATTTTTGTTTTCTTTTGACCAGGTTGAGAATGTGCATACCTTGCAATACAGTATAAGAAAAACCCCTCACTCCCCTCACTAATATCTTGCCAAATAGTTTACAGTAAATCTGTGTGTAGCTCAGCTGATAAAGCAACTAAATGATAGGAGGTCAAATCCCATTGTGGTTAATGTTTTCCTTAACATTATATAAACATCTTTTATCTCCATACCACTTTAATACCAGATTAAATATCTTTGATTTTCTGACCATCTTTGGAATGAGATCTTTGACCCTCCAAATATTTCAATCTCAATAAAACTGTTCAAAATTTCTGAAGCCTGATACCTTTCTCTTATACACTCCAGCAAAAAAAAAACCCCACCCCCCCCCCCCCCCCCACTCCTATCTTGCCAAAAGATTTAAAGTAAATCTATGTGTAGTGAATAAGTTCATTGTGAAGATTTGCTTCTTACTCTGAAGGGAAAACAATTCTATTTCTGAATTTAGCATAGATTCTGTCTTTGTAGACAACAAATTTATATTCACACACTGCTATTGTAAATATTTTTGTTTTCTTTTGACCAGGTTGAGAATGTGCATACCTTGCAATACAGTATAAGAAAAACCCCTCACTCCCCTCACTAATATCTTGCCAAATAGTTTACAGTAAATCTGTGTAGTGATTAAGTTCATTATGAAGATTTATTTCTTAATCTAAGGTGAAAACAATTCTATTTCTGAATTTTGGATAGATTTTGTCTATTTTTTAGACAACAAATTTATATTCACACACTGCTATTGTAAAATCTTTTTGTTTTCTTTTTACCAGGTTGAGAATGTGCTAATACATCATACTGGAAACTACATGCTGTGCGATTTCGGTAGTGCTACAGGGAAAGTCCTACACCCTAAACAACAGGGAGTTCAGAATATCAAAGATGAAATAGAAAGGTAAAGCTTAGAGGAGATTAACTGACAAAGGATGAAGGATTCAACATAGTCTGTACAGTGTAAAGTCAATGTTAACAATGAAATTCAATGTTTGAATTAACTGTAATGTTAAGTCATTAGCTTTCTATAGAGCATTACAATCTTCTGGTCGAGTCTATTCAAGAGTTCATACTCCGAGGAGATGTTGATTTAGTTCTAAAAACTCGACATTACGATCCTTGTGTATAGTGGTGAAAGGATTGGGTGGAACGGGGTCGCGATGTGAACACTCCCTTCTTGACCCCAACATTACAATGAGAAAACATCTTTCGTGCCAGTTACACATAATAATATCATTCCTATACTTTTGGCATAGACACTTAAATTTACTGTAATTTTCTTTTCAACAAGGAAAAATTGAAAAATTGTATACTCAAGCTAATTGAATATATTCAGATGGTTGATAGTAATATATTATTCTTTATTTGAAAACAGCACTTGCAGCAGTGGCACATGTATGTAGTGGTGTGTCCAAGAAAAATAGAAAATAAAAGTAACGTAATCAAAACTTCAAAAATCTAAGATCTAAGAGATTAACAAGAAGTACAAATCAGTGTCCTTATTACACCTGTCTTTCCCCTCTCCAGTCAGGAGTACAGACACCAAGACCCAAATTACCTCTTTCTCATTCCCTTCTTACACCATTTCCGACCGTTACATTACGATAAACATTTCAAATTACAAGCGCCAAAGTTCAAACACAACTGATACTGACTACATGTTTGGTTTAAAGTAGAATGTTTTTATACATGTTAAAGGCACTGTTAAATAGATAAAAAGTTCATTTGATTCTAAACCACAACATACAAAATAAGGAAATAGAATCTTTACATAGAAAAACATAAATACTCACAGTGCATCAGAAACACCCATTAGGCCCAGATGTCAAAACCATTTCCAGCGGGAACCAAATTGCACATGGTTACCAATAAAAATAGTTTTCTAAAGCGGAAGTCATTATTAGTAATCAATAAGAATCTTAGATTTTCTTATCATGTATTTAGATTTGATTTTTTTTTTTTTAAATAATATTTGGACATCCATGGATTGGAGTGTGTTGAGCCTCATGAAAATGTCATAACAATTCAATTACTGTAGACTACAGCACTTTTATTTATAGGATACTTAATCCAGACTGGAAGAAAACAGCTTGAAATAGATGATTACTAATGTTCAGATGACGTCCAAGCTCTTCCTAAGTTCATGGTGGACTCGATAACAGATTCCAAATATCTTTTCCATCTATTCTAGATTAAATTAATTGAAAATGCTTGTATACATTAAATTTTTTTGGTTCATACAAGACAGTTAAGAAAAATGATTTTATAAAAAGTTTTAATAGTATATGGTTATTTGTATTTGATACTCATTAAAATTTAATTTAATAAGGTAATTGGAGGATGTGGTATTGAGGGTGGTGCGGGTGTAAGATAAATGAAGTGTCTTACAAGGCTTGTAACATGGGTAAAGGCTAATGAAGATCCAATGGCTTATCTTAGGGAGGGCGTGGAGTCGTCCCCCAAAAATCATGGTCAAGTAGTTAAAAATCACCTAAAATCACCATATTTTGCAAATTAGTGCCCCTCAACTAATCATCGAGGCCCCTCCCCCTCACTTCACCTTCGTGCCCCCTATTAGCCCCTAATTCAAGATTTCTAGATACGAAACAGTGAAGATCACGGCTATATTTGTGAAAGTAAAATTAGGGTCCAGCCAAGTTTTCAATGAATAAATTAACTTTAAAAAGTTAAGATTCCCAGCAAGGATTATAAATTAGGTAACTATAAGTAAGTGAAAATGTATGTTGGTCAGTTCAAAGATTTTGAAAGTAGAACTCAGGGGAGGAGAGAAGAAGTGTTTGTATCGGTTCTGACTAATGCAAAGAACTGCAGTATATAACTCATCATAGAGGTAAATGTATTTATTTGATCATCTCCTCTCAGGTACACAACTTTAAGTTACAGGTCACCTGAGATGATTGACCTTTACTCAGAGACTCCAATCACAACTAAAGCTGATATTTGGGTAAGAATTGAAATGCTAACTTTCTTATTATTCTCAAATTATGACAGAAACCCTGAATAAAGATTTTAACAGTCTGCAAATTACATTAAAGTTTTCCACCAGTTTTTATGACCATCATAAATAATGTGCACTATGTTAATAATATAATAAGATTGTCGTTGATGATCAAGCTATCACTGCTATGTTGATAGAATAATGAAGGTGACTTTCTTAGATCATATACAAGCATGTTAAGAAATTAATTGCATCATATTATTCATATTATTTATTGTACTTTAAATTAAGTCTTATAGATAAATTTTGGTAAAACCTATAAAAATAATGTTTTTTGTAGCTTTATTTTTTTTTCTTTTTTTTCATTTGATGGACAGTGTCTATTTGATTGTCACCAAATATGGCACAATTATAATTTACATCAAGTTCTAGAATATATATATTTTTTTTTAGTACTTCATTATTATTTATCTTATTTTACATGTATACTGCCTTATGTCAGCCATTGAGCTGAGCGTTTGGCTAATTGGTATGGTTCCTGCCTCTTGCACGGCAAAGCCCGGGTTCGATACCCGGATCTGTATCGAGTATTGAATTCGGGTCTTTTATAATAACACAAAAAATGCTCAGCTCCTCGAATAACCCTCTCAGGAGAATTAGGCGAGTTAAGGACCATGTTTGTATCCGTTTGATGTTTATTTAAGGCATTAATTTATAAGTTAGCTCCCGACCAGCTTACAGGTATTGCTTTCTTGGTTTCGGTATTGTACCATAGGTGGGGGAATGAATAAAGTTTATTATTATTATAAAAAAAGTAAATAAATTGTTGTGAAGTAGCTGTTACTATAATCTTCTTTATAGCCACTCATTTGCCTGTTTTTTTATTTTTATTATTTTTTTTCTCTTTAGGCTCTGGGTTGCTTACTGTATAAACTCTGCTACTTTACACTTCCGTTTGGAGAGAGCAGCCTAGCAATACAAAATGGACATTTCACTATTCCGGATGATTCCAAGTTTTCTCATGACATGCATTGCCTGATAAGTAAGACATTCAGTCACTCTTCTGTCATTTATATAGCGCGTTTCTTCACAGATACAAAACACTAGTGCTCCATATTTCCCCGCAAAACCTGCAGGAAGTATATGCAACTGCACAAACCCAAACATACAAGAAAATCGCCAAATGAAGCCGCAGTGATAACCTTCAAATCACAATAAAAAAGCCATAATAAAGGTCAAAACAGAAATTTAAAAAAATCTCAAGGAAAAAAGTCTTATGTAATGACTTTCAAAACAGAAACAGATGCATTTAAGCAGAGATGAAGATTGTTTGACATAAGTGGAGCAATGCATTGACAAGATTTGTCACTGATACGTTTACGATTGGCTAATGCAATTGGATCAAAGAGGAAGATCTATTGCATTTTGGCAGTTCATACTCTTATAAAAAGTCAGTGATGTATTTAGACCACTTAACACACAATCATTTAAATTTATGTCTGACTTTTATGTTAATTTACTTTTGTTGTTGGGCATACAATTTTATGTTTTATAGTGCCCCTCTGGATACACCTGCTTATTGATATTCTTGTTCTAATTATTATGTTTAATCATCTTAATATTTAAAATTGTCCATTTGAAATACAGGTCTCCCTCTAATTAAAGACATCTCCAATTAAAGACCACCTCCATTTAAAGACCACTTTTCTGTGGCTCCATATTAACAAATTTCTTTTATCTTTATTATACTAATTTGAGAACAAAGCAGCCAACGTCCATGAAAACCCTGGTCCAAAAAGTGGTCTTTAATTGGCGGGAGACCTGTAATTTAATGAATGTTTGAAAAATAATTTTTTGGGGTTTTTTTTTTTTTGCAGATTACATGCTTGAAGTTGATCCAGATAAGAGACCAGATATCTACCAGGTTTCGTACTTAGCATTCAAACTCAGAGGAATACCAACACCAGTTCAAAACTTGCATGTAAGTCTGCCAACTTTCTAGTACATTTAGTTTCACTGGCCTTCTACATGTATTGTCTCCTACCTTGTATTATGGACATACCGTAAGACCTTGAATAGAATCCCAATGGGCTTAATACCCAGAAGAGCCCATCTCGAATTGAAGCTCCCCTCTATAGTGTGCAAAAGTAGCCATGAAAACGAAGCCCATGGGCTTCTTTGCAACATAGCTTGAGATGTATACATATTACATAAATTTCAAAGAACAAATTAAAGTTAGCAAAAAAAAAAAAGGAGCCCAGAGCTTCAATTCGAGGTTTTATGGTAGTGGTCCTGTTTGTCAACTACATATGTTATACATGTCTCCTACCTTACTCACCTACTAGCCTTACACCAGTGACCTTAATTATCTTCTACCTTCCTCCTTCATTGAGTATTTGATATTAATAAATTATAAGTTTTCTGTACTGTAGTTTTAGGCGTTGTCCACACTGTCAAATTTCCTTCTTATTTGTACGTTTTTTGGTAGATAAAATGTGTCTTGGCATTCACTATTGTTGATTGTTTATTTGATCAGGATCAGGAACCCTGAAATAGCCATATTCAATATTTGCATGTGGCAAGTAGGTATATAGAATGATATTGGCCATATCCCAATGACTTGTTCATATGATTTTAGGGAACCACCCCTCCGGATCCGAGCTCCCTGGTTCTTCCACTGACAGAAAGTGAATACAAAGCACAGCAGGGAAGGAACCAAAAGGCAGCTTCAATAAGCAGGTTAGTTTTAAGACAGAAAGTCAATTTTTTCATATTATTTTGTATTATTGGTGCATTACCTTGCATAAATAACATAAATATCTAATTTATTTACTTCCAATAAAACAATTCAATTTTCTTCAATTTGCAGACATATACTGCAAAAGCTACTTATTTTATTATCTTCTCTTATACGTCTAAAGAATGTGCAAAGTAAGCAATTCATATTAAGTTTTGTTTTTCAAGTGCTTTATCTCATCACAGACAGTGTACCAAAATTAAAGCCAGGCTCCAGAGAATATGAACAGTTTTTAGTATGTAAGACACAAAAAGCATATTTGACTAAAAACCTGGAAGCGGTTAATGAGATATAGATTTTTGAATATTTAAGAACTGGGGAAAAAAGCGGGTAACCACACTTTTCTTCCACCCTTTCGGTGTTCATACAGATTTCACTGATTTAGTGATATTTAATGCCTTGTATTTGTTTATGTTTCACTACTAGGGCTACTGCTGCTCAACCAGAAGTAAGTACATCAGTGACTCCAAGACAGCGACCAAAGCCTACTCAAAGCTTCAGATCAGCTAACCCACATCTTCCTACGCCTAGGAATAGGCAAAGCACTACCAATGCCACTGGTAAAAACATTTTTTTATTCACTGCAAAAATAATTCATCAGTTACAGTTTTGAATAAAAAACTATTTATATAATATTGATTATGCCTGATATAGTAATTAGATATTAGACATGTTTCAAGAATTTTAGAATAATGAATATAAAAATGTTGGGGAGATAATTTTTGTTGATCATCTACTCCAGTCTACTCAGAGTTATCAAAATATGCATGGCTTTAAAACTCTTAGCCTCACATTTTGGCTCAGTTTAAACTTCACTGGCCAAGACCAACCAACGTGTTGGTTGGTTTTGAATTAAATAACAGAATGTCAGGTTGTATTTAATTTCTTATTCAGGCTCAAATTGATGCTAAAAATGTTCAATATCTTAAAAACATAAAGAGGAGAGTTTTTTTTTTTAACAATTGATAGAATTTTGACACATTGAGATGCAGTTCACTACCCTCAAAACTTTCTATCACAATTTTGGGTGTGAGGCTAAAACTTATTGCATTTGCTTGTCCTCAGGTTGTACTTGAATCAGTATAGTAATTGTGTTTTATTATTTCTTATACCAACAGCACAAGCTTCTCAGCAACAGCAACAAACGTTGCAGCAACATGCTGCCCTCCAGCAACAACAGCAGCAGCAACAACAGCAGCTACAGCAACAACAGCAGCAGCTGCAGCAACAACAACTGCAGCAACAACAGTGGAACCAGCAACAACAATATGTGAAGCAACAGCAGTATCTACAACAGCAACAATACGTACAACGACAGAAGCAACAACAACTCCAACTCCAACACCAACAACATCAGTTACAGCAACAGCAACATCTACAGCAATTAAAACAACAACAGCATATACAGCAACAGCAGTTGCAAAGACAACAGCAGTTACAGATGCAGCAACAGTTGCAACAACAACAGCAAATGCAGCAACAGCAACAAATCCAACAACAACAAATGCAGCAGCAACAGCAACAAATGCAACAAGCTCAACTCATGCAGCAGTATCAACAATATGGTGCACAGCAACAACCGGGATACTACCCAACCCAACAGACACAGAATCAGCAATATCCTGCAACACCGGCACAACAGTACCCACAATTCCCGCCGCAGCAGCCAACATCATTTCCTCAAGCACAATTCTCACCGTCACCACAGCAACAATACTACCAACAGCAGCCTCAAGTAGCCACATCCCAGCTTGTGGTTAAAGACACTCCAGACTCTCCACCAGCACAACTCCAGAACCCTTTCCCAGCTGCCGATGGCTCCTCTAAATCAATGAACCCGTTTACAGATGACTTCTGCCTAATCTCAGAGGACACTGTGCTAGATCAAGAGTTTGATGCCTTGAGGAAAACACAAACGGGTAAATAAACTTCATGTTATCACTTGATTCCCCGCATATTGTGGTCGTCTCATCCTATACAAGTTCATGAGAAAAATTTGAAAGAAACATGATTAAAATTCAAATTGATAAGTGATTTAGACTATACATTTCACATGCCACATTTTGCTTTAGACTACAGTCTTTTTAAAAGATATCTAGTAGTGTAGTTGTTTAATGTTGAATTGTATTATGTCGGCATCTCCATAGGTTTGATTTAAAGCTGGATAATTGAAAACTGTAAAAATTTAAAAACATAATTTGTTGATTTTGCAGATGTATCAAGTGGAGTAAGCAAAGCACAAAACATGGACATTCCTGAGCCGCCTCCTGATGATACATCATTTGATGCTTTTGGAGCAACCCCATTTGTAAAAGCCCCAGAGGGAATTGATGTCAGTCTACCATCCAAATCACAAAGCCCATTCCAAGAACCTGAAGCTAAGCCAGTTGTAGACATGTTTGGCAGTACAATATTTGTCAAAGATATACCCTCACCACCACCAATGGATGGCTTTGAAGATAATTTCTCCCAGAAAAAAGCAGATAATGGATTTGAAGATGACTTCACACAAACATCAGTGAAGGCATCTGCTGAGGTTGGTTTTGAAGATAACTTTGGTCCCACCGTTTCTTGTAATGTTGATGCTTTTGGATCGCATCCATTTGTTGCCAAAAATGACTCAATGAATGATTCAGATTTAAACCAGAAGGGTGATGTTCAAAGCTTTGGCTACGATACTTTTGAAGACAGTCATTCTTATCAACTGGAAATGAAAAAGAAAGCAGAAAAACATAAGCATCGTGGCATCTTTGATGGCAGTGGGTCCTCTGATGAGGATGATGATAATTCAGATTCAGACTCAGACGGTCATGAAGACGATCCTGTTGCCAGCAAACCTTTGATTAACATTGATGAAAATTTAAGCGATTCAGAACTCTCAGGTTTGAATTTGCAGGACACCTCATCAAGACGTTCAAGAGTTGGGCACCAACCTGATCTTTCTCAGCCTTTATTTGCATCACAGAGGACAGCCACCAGCAGGAACACTGCCAGTAGCTGCACACTGACTCCCCCATTGTCACCACCAAATGCAGAGGAGACTGATTTCTTCCGTGAATCACCATTTGACACCAAGTTCCTACAACAACCTCATCATAAACGTCAGGACAGCACTAGTTCCAATGGTTCTGATATTTTTAGTAAAGCACCATTTCCAGCAAAGAACCCAGAACCTCAGGCATCAAATCCCACACCGCCAACATCACCAGTGAAACTGGATCCTTTTGGTGTACAGGCATTTGCATCTGATATGAAGGGAACATCTGAAGACCTCTTTGGAGCTGTACCATTTGATGCTGTGGCTACTGGCCTTACAGACCCTGGTCCTAGACTTCATGGCAAACACAAAGTTCAACAGACTCAAGGTAAGATGATCTAAAGTGATTGGAACTTTGAATGTCTATGTGTTCTTAAATTCACAGTTTTAGCTCCAACCTGGAGGATAAGCATATATGTTTTTTGTACTGATGCTGGTTTTGGGGTAAAGCCTCATCTATGCAAATAATTTGTAAGGAGAAATTGGATTTTTTAAGTAGGAAAATTGATAACAGATTCATTATTTCTATCACTTCCTGTAGGTTGCACCAAGAAGCAACATGTTGATAACTCAGCAGGGGCTGTGAGGAAATCACGAGGTACCCCTTCAGGAAGCAGACGCCGGCGCAGTGGTAGCAACAGCTCAAGATCTTCGCGCAAGAGCTCCTCAAGTTCCAACTCACTTAAATCTAGCCCAAGCACTCTACCCAGAAGACGGAATTCTGCCGATAGCCTAGATGCATTTGGTTCTCGACCCTTCAATCCACACTCATCTGACAGCACCCGAGAACGATCCCATAGCGATGACACTGTCAATGTTGTTGTGGATAGTGGTATCACAATCACTAATGAATTTGATGACTTTGACCCCCGTGCAGCATCCACCATCACAACTCCTACTGTCAATATCCCCCAGAGCCCACATTTCGACCCCTTTGGTGCAGCCCCTTTCAAACCACCTGTAAAAACATTTGTAGAGTCCACTGAAAACCCAGCGATAAAACGCCAAAATGCGAAGAAGGGTCGTAGGCTACCACAGGCACCAAGTATTTAGGAATATTGTGCTGATTTCAGGCTAAGAAATATCTGATATTTTCACAGTTGTCAGTTGTGCAATTATGCCAGTAAATTGAATAAACCCATTAGAATCTCTGATGTATATTCACTAAATGTGTTCCTATAATGTTCAGTTGGTCTGCTACTTAGGATTAAAGTAGCAGTTCCACGGATTAACATGATTAATATGGGGCCAGCTTTCTTACTTATGACTGGTGAAGATGTGGACCTGAACTCCCATTGCTGATTGAGTGTCTTGCCCTCAGTGACCTTTAGACTAGTGAGCCAAAATCCAAGTCTTATGTCTCATTCTGCATTTTAGTTTTTTAGGGAACAAGTTCATTTAGAGAATTGTGAACAAATATTACAGAGTACCAGTGCGATGAAATTTAGTATAATGCCAGTGTATGATAAGTGGTAATAAAAGTAGAAAATAAAAAGCAATACAGTTACATTGCTATGTAATAAATGAAATAATATAGTTTGAATATTTACTTGTATTTATCATAGGGATAAGAAATATCTAAGTGGCATTAGATTGTTAATGTATGGACTTTATATAATAATTAGTTCAATATATGCTTATACAGTTTAATTCCACATGAGCACCTAGTGAAATGGAGGGCATCAGCTGTCATAATTTGGTTATTCTATCAAGTTAATAATATATCAGTGAATTGATTTTTAGGTTTAAGCCACTAGAAAATGATTTGGGTTCAATTGTTGTCCATTCCTTGATCAACTTATTTTTTATAATACCTGTTTAAGATGTTTTATTATAATTATTGACGATGTTATTTCCAGTACAGAAACCTCTCATTAAGTAAAGTTCCACTGGAGAGATATTACAAAGCATTTCTTATTTCTTGGGTGAAAACTGAAGTGTATGTGTTTAGTTAACCCCTCCCCACTTCCCCAAATATCTTACGAAACCTTTCAGACAAATGAAAATTATTCCAAAGTTAATACTTGTGTTCAAATGTAATGTTCATCATATGATTTAATATTAAGATGGACTTGTGTTCGTTTACGTGATGGGGTTGAATCAACTAATTTAATATTTTAAGTGATGATGACAGAGGCAATTAAGGTCCAACCAATGAATTACTTTTAGGAATTAATTTTAAGTTGATTTTGCCTTTTCTCTAATGTTTTCTGTTTGTTTCTGTAATTTTATAGTGTGCATGCAACTTGATTGAAAATTGACAATAAGTCACGGAACCAGTGCAAGTGCTTTTTAATTTAACAAAGTGAATCTGAAGACTTGACAGTTAAAATGCAGTTTATTTCCCTGAGTGTTATTGTCAGTAATTGTTTATTTACCAACTTATTGGTTTCATATATGGTAGCTATAATTAATAGTCATATGTTTCAATTTTATTTAATGAAATGCAGATGATTTTATGTTAATTTTAAACATCTAATTTTGGATTTTTTTTTTTTTTTTATAATTTTTTTGTCAGTACTGTACAAGTTTTTTTGTACTCAAGACCACATGTCTCATTTTATAAAGCACCCTATATTATAATTAGATTAAACAAATATTTTATTTATCCTGTAATCAGCTTCATAAAACCAAGAATTCCAAGAAGTATGTATTGCTGTCTCTTATACACATCTTTTCACATGCCACATTTTGCTTTAGACTACAGTCTTTTTAAAAGATATCTAGTAGTGTAGTTGTTTAATGTTGAATTATTGATGAACTTTGATCCTATTATGAATAATTGACCTTTATCACCAAAGAATAAATCTCTGCCCACTTTTGTTGGTATTTAATGAAGTTCATGAAACAATAATTTGATATTTTTTAAGGAAATATGTGTTTTATTCTGATGCCGCCTCCTTCTTGTCACTGTGTTATTCATATTTCATAACAGTAATGTTGGAGAAGAAAATAAAGTACATGGAAGAAATATGTCTGCTGCCATTTACTGTATTTATTTTTCCAGATTAGATGAATAGCACCATTTAAATCTATAAGTAATATATCTTTGGATTTAAAATGATAGATTATAAATTCAAACAGAAAATTAATATAACAATTAATACATTTTCTCTATCTCGTTAAAATGTGAATTGACCAATAAATTACTAAACAAGGAAGCATAATTTTTCCCATAAGGCTACTACATATTACATTTAAGCTATTAGTAATGACAAAACACCTTATTTCCTATATGGGATCTATTTTAATAATCTGTTAGGTCCATGATATTGCCATAAAAAGTATAAAACAAATTATTTATTTGATTTAATAATGCTAAAAAAAGTGTATTTGCACAATCATACCCTAAGTACTGTTGTATATAGAACAGTACTAAATGGTTAAATCCATGGGAGATTAACTTAATAATTATAGTAGGCCTATGTAGCTGATGTCGGTCAGAGGAGTGGCAGAAATATCAGAAAACTGTACAAAATAAATCAGTGTTATTAAAAGTTGAGCTTAAAACTAAATTATTCACTTAAAAACTATATAAATAAGCATAGGCAAAGCAAGCATTTCAAGATTGCTGCGTAGCAACCTTGTAGAAACCGTACTCGAATCTGCAACCTCTTGCTATCAAGGCAAGAGCCATACTGCTAGACCACACAAAGACCTATTGGTTAAAGTCCTGTTTACACTATGACTTGCCTATTCTCACTTTTGGATTGGTTCTTGCGCTACACTAGTCTTGGTTATTGTCTTTTTATTGGTTAATGTATTTATTTCCGTCTTCATATAAATATTGAAGCGCTGCAATATTACTACAGTTAGTGCTCAAAGCCTAGGATGTAGAGTTTGTAAATGAACTGTGATATGTAATTTGTATATATTTTTTTTAAATGTTAAAATTAATCAGATTAGATGCAGTCTGAATACAAGCCTAGTCGGTCCAGCACAGCCTATAGAGGGCTGTTGAACGATTCAAGCATTAATATTGCGCAATTGATTGCAATCAAGGATGATAATGACATACTAGAGCAGTCACTACATAGAGTGCACGCACACCTCCCCCTCTGTGCCTGAATACCGACAAATACGCAGGCCGTGTATGGACGATTCCATTATTTTCTTTTATAAATAAACTTTACACTACATTGACCTTGTCTTTGACCTTTCCTTCCCAAACTTTTATAATTTCTTTGATTATTATGTACCATTCCACTATCAGTGGAAAATTAAAAAATCTTATGATGATCCATTCCTTAGTTTTTGCGTAATCTTGCTAACAAACAAACGGCAGTGAACATTCTTTGGAGGTGGTAATAACACAGATTGAGTACTGGGGGCTAGCGAAGTGTACTTCTCTCGCAGGCATCCAAACTCATTCATTCATGGTTTAATTCTGCATCAAAATATTTGATCCATAGTTAATTAGACTGGTCACATTTTAAGGCAATGTTCTGGGCTGAATTTATATACAGTATCCACATAAGTAAGTCTAAGATATGTAAAATGTATGTAACAAGCATTCAGGATTACTAAATAAGTTACAGTGCACCATAAATTCAGTATTTATCGTACGATCAAAGTTGTTTGTATACTACAGACAACTGTTTAATTAAGGTTGTAAGGTCTGGATTGCCTCCTAATGATTCAATTTCTGCAAGTACTCTGTAAAGAAAAACATCAAAAATCATAATTCAAATGCAATAATTAATATTAAACAAATTGTAATAGTTTGTAGTTTGCAATACTCTGTATCTTAGATGGAAATATTTTATCCAAAGTAAACACAAGTTAATAACAAAAATGGCATAAGGGAATAACTTCTAGTGAACAAAAAAGCATCAACTGGTTCACTGCTGCATATAAACTACCCACATATTTAATGAATAATTAATTTAAAAAAAAAAAAAATTCTAAAACTCATTATCTATCAGGGTCTAAGAATGATCAATTCCAAAGCGTCAATCAAACGTAATTGACCAATCAGAGCAGGGCAAGAAATACGCTCTTATCCTACAAACACATTTTGTCTCACAAGTACATGTGTTTACATACATTTACGTTATTTTTTTTGTTGGCCCTTAGCAACAAGGAGAGGGCTTAGCGGAAGGTCGGCCCGAGCAACATAATTTAATTCCGTCCCTACACTTGGCAGGCCATCAAGCTATTTGAACTCTACTCAGTAAGCTTATCTTACCTTTCTTCTAGCTCCTCCAAAATCGTTCTTGTATATTCAAATGAGCCCAACTATTAAAGAAATTGCATTCTTAATTAAAAAGAGAAAATGTTTGTAATACTATTTTTCATATTTTAAAAATATATTTAAAATAAACAACTATTATTAACCAGTTTATTCATTTAATAATTTTAGTAGAAAACTATTATCATTCAATATCATTATTATCACAAATTATTATTATTTGTTTTTTTTTATTTTGTTTTTTATAAATAAAATATGGATTATGCATTCCATTGGACAGTAAGAATACAAGAAAAATATTTATTATCAGTTAAGATGTATGCCAATTACTCCCACTTTAGTGGTTATTTTTGACTATTAGGTTACCTTCTTTAATTGCAAATACACCAACAAAGAATAAACGTGTATTTAAATAAATATATATATATATATATATATATATATATACATACACTTTAACAAAATAAATAATAACAGAACTGAATACTGTAATAAATACGGTAGAACCCCTACTTTGAGACACCCCTGTTAAGGGGGCACTGCTTCAGCCATGAAACGAGTGAAAGTACAGTATATCTTTTTAACACACGCCCAACCCATATTCAGGGAACACCCCGATTAAGAGGACACTTTTATTGGTCCCAAGGTTGTCCCTTTAATAGGAGTTCTACTAAACACTGGGAATATTTGAATTGATAAAATACATAAAATATTTCTCAGCTGACCTCTTGCAGCCTCTTTACACATAATTTCTTCACTTCAACATCCTCGGTCCTTTGCCTTAATATACTACTGATTATGGCCCCATCGGTCTCCTTTTGTATTCCGTGGATTATCGGATATGAAAACTTCCCTTCCGTCAAATCCTCACAAAATGTCTTAGCATTTGAATATTCTAATGAGCACAAATTAGCATAATCGTCCCTGATTTGAAAGAAGAGACCAATAGCTTCAGATACTGGATGCAAATCACTGTCAATGACAAAAAAACAAATGTAAATTATATACAAAATTGAAACTGAAATTTATTTATTTATTCTGCCTTTAACGTGATAACACTTTCAGTGACGCAGCACTGATCTCACTAGTGGATCACATGAACAAAAAAAGTAGAACAAAAACAAACATAAAAAAAATATACAGAAACTTAACTAAAATAAAAAAGAACCAATTCAAATGAATTAAAAAGAAGGCAAGAGAACAGAGGGTGGTCAGAAAGATATAATTAGTTTTCTGTTTTGATCAAATTTTTGAAATTTTTAAGTTGGAGATCATTTAATTCTATTTTAATTTGGTTTGGAAGTTCGTTCCAAGTCTTAGTTGCACGGAATAAGAATGTTCTCTTGCCTTGAGTGAGTTTCCATTTTACCTCCATGAAGGTGTTGTTAGATTTATTCCTAGTGCACTGAGAGTGGCTATTTTGATTAAAAATGAATTTGTTACATAGGTAGGTTGGGGCAATTCCTTTCCGGCACTTAAAAGTGAGTAATAATAGGTGTTCCTTCCACCTATCATTTAACCTATTCCATCCTAAATCATTCATTAAATCCTTGATGGGTGTTTTAATGTCGACTGAAAGAATAATTCTTCCTAACCTATTCTGGAGAATTTGGAGCTCATTTAAAAAATTCAAATGATGGTGACCCAATAAAGTGCTGAAAAATTGAGTTTTAGAAAGATAGTATGCATTTCTTGGATGGATGGATTATTCAGTGTAAACACCAAGGATAACCCACAAACATCTGAGGAAGACTTATTTCCAGTGGGATCTTTCTGGTGGTAATTGGACAGCACACCAGGAGACAATCCCCTACTCTTTTCCGAATAGTGTACTGCATTCTTTTACATGCACATGGGCCATAATGCACACGGCAGTAACAGCTTAAATATCTCATGTGCACTATCGTAACTTGCATTTCAGCGCTCTAGCTGAAATACAAGGAAAGCAGCGATTAGAATGGAACCGGGGACCAAGAGATCTCCCCAGTTCAGCGGACAATCTGGAACTCAAGATGCTGATTCAAATAATTCTAAAGTAATAACATTATAATCTAAAAACTCAAATTTCTAAATATCTCATTGTAAGGCTAAGATTAAGAAATAATATTATAAACCATTAAATCCACATTCACAACAGAAACATCACAACAAATATCAATATTTTTAATTGTAATATTTCTACCTTTAATGTTTAATATGTAAAAATGAATTTTTATGCTCTTTTATGTATTTTTTTAATCATAGGCATATATTTTTTATATCATATTGTATTTTTATGTTTTTGGTGTTTGACACACTGTTGGGTCTTGAATAAATGAAAAAAGAAAAATGTATGCACCTTACGAATTCTAGTTTTTAGTTAAACAAGCCAGACTTAACATATTTTTGAATTTTATGACAATACTAAGGAGATTATTGTTGTTTATAAAGCTAAATACTCACCTTTTATCTTGACTAAATAACTGCATGAGGTCAATAGATAAATTAAACAGCCCACCAGTTTCTGTGTGAGGAAAGCACATAAAGATAATACCACTGTTTTGTTGGGTTTTCTTGAGGAAGATATATGTGATAAGCTAAATTAATTAGACACAGTGGCATATCTAGGGGATGTGCAGGAGGAATGCACTCCTCCAAAGATCTCCCCCAGTCAACCCCCTCACTGAATATGTCTCAAGCAAAAAAAAATCATTATAAAGCAATTGAAAATCACCTCATATTACCTTACCACCTAGCGCTCCCTCATTGAATTATCGATTCCCCCATTCCACCTTTTGGCCCATCAGCCCCAGCCCTCACCCCCACAATTTCAAAACTCCTAGATATGCCCCCTCATTGAATTATCAAACCCCATTCCACCTTCCTCATTAGCCCCATCCCGCCCCAAAATTTCAAGATTCCTAGATATTGCCCCTCCCATATTGAATTATTGAGCCCCCAATTCTACCTACCCCCACTCCCTATCAGCCCCCAACCCCTCACAACTTCAAGACTTCTAGATATGCCCCCTCATTGAATTATCAAGCCCCATTTCACCTTTCCCCATCAGTCCCCAGACCCTCCCCAATTTCAAGTCTTGGAGATACTGTACGTCACCTGATTAAAAACTAAAATTCATCAGTTTATTTATTACACTTGTATGTTTTACAATTATTGCACCACCACTCTCTTATTTTATTAAAATGGATTAGAATCTTACTTTTTATCACCATCTTCTTATAAGCATCTTCTGTTGGACAAGTGTTGGTGTCTCGCCACCATATATCCATTCCTTGTCCTTCATGGAGTTCACACATACGATCTAGACAGGTGTAATATATACAACTAACACTAATACCCTATTCAGACTACACTCTCTTGCAATCGGTTGCGATGTAATCGGTGGTAATCCAAAACTCATTACTCCCGATCGCAATCAACGAACGCATTCAGACCAACACAAACAAACTTTACATTCTAGGTCCTAGGCCTCCGGTGTCTAGGCCTATGTTGCCTGACCTCAGCCAAACAGTGCCTGTGGAATTCGTTGTGATTCGTTGCGATCAGATTCCGTGGTAATCGGGAGTAATAAAGATTGTAGCACCCAATAGCAACAGGTAACAATTGCGATATCGATTACATATCGACTACTATTGGTGAGATTTCACACAATATTTTACTTTGCGATTGGGTGTCGCAATTGCTACAACCGATCGCAATGCGATGCTAGTCTGAATGGGGTATTATATTCAAGGAATTTTTAAAATCCTTAAACAACTAAATGGGTTGCTTATCTCATACTACCTCCAACAGTAGCAGAAGTAAGGGATTTACAGTCCGCGTACAGTGTACACAGAGTGAGGCTTTGCTCAAGGCGCAAATACAAGGTGGTAAACTTTATTATTATTGATCAACAAATTCCCTATTATGTTTATTTAGGTGATTAACACATTTGCTGTTATGCAGAATGGCAAAGTTCTTCCACTTTTTACAAGTTTTAAAGGGCGCCACCAAGTTGACATATTATTTTTCCACACACAATAAAACACAACAAACATTTCTAATTTATTTTTAGACTACAATATTTTTATGTGCCTTTCTAATGTGTCATTGGTGTGTTTGTCATATTATACAATACAAAAGAATAGTTGGGGTGTATCCCCAACCTTTGGACCACAACAACTTTCAAGAATGTTATCATTCATGCATATAGCATAAAAACGGATTAACAATGGCAGTGAAGCGTGCACAGTGTAGTTGAACTAATGCTATAATCCTTTACACCCAAAGGCAAAAATTAAAGATAACATATTTCAAATTTTCTGGCTGCTATTTTCCATCTTTTATTTTGAAAACTTTTCAAATTTAGGTATTTTCTTTTTTAGATTAATATACTACATACTTTAAAGATATAATAACTCTTATTATATTTATATAGTTATTTACAGTATTTTTATTTGTATTCCAAAGTTAACGGGTTGCTTTATTCTTTTTGTATTAATTTTTAATGTAACCGAGCAATGGCATTCGTATGTGTTTAAAAAACAAAAAAATAATAATAATTATTATTATTATTATTATTATTATTAAACACATTAATTAATTTTTCGTTCAGTATTTGTACAAGAACTTCCTCTGTTTCTGCATAAATACAAGACTACATTTTGTTGAGAAAAAAAATTTAAATTATGATGTTACACAAAAATACAAGTTACAATTCTTATACAAACCTGCAAATATTTTAGAACAGTTAGGATGATCTAAAGTTAGAATCTTTTGAAGGGCTAAAAAGTATATGTAGTTTCCCGTGTTGATAGTGTGTGGCACACCATACAGATGATGGGCTACAGGTTGCCCTCGCCTTAGACTAGAATTATCTTCTATGTCATCAATTCTATAAGAAAACAGATGAAACAGGTGAATAATTTACGGTAAATATGAATATTACATAAATATTGTGAATAGAACTACAGTATGCTTCGTTAAGACTTTAAACCAAAAATATCAACATCAAATATCTCAGCTAGTACACTTAAAATTTATCTCATTTAAAATGTAATTTATCTATGAATATAATTATATAGGGATTTATACCAAGCCTTTTGCTAAGGGATTCAAGGCACTGGCAATATTGTTATTATTACCGATGGTCATTGGATCCATTTAATCAAACCAGCACAAAATGCAACCTCCTCCACAACCTGGAAAGTATTCCCTGTCATGCTTGAAAATTAATGTCAATAGGGACTAATACATTCAATGCCACGTCACCTTACCAGGTACCCATTTATACTCTTAAGTGGAGAGAGACAAGCGTAGATAAAATGCCTTACCCAGGGACACAAGCGAAATTCACAGTGACGGTTCAAACCTCCAACCTTCAGGTTGAGAGACTGAAATGCAAATGCTGTGCCAACCGCTGCCACAAATGCATTTTATAACATAATATTTTTAAATCATTATCATTCCATGCTGACATGGGTTATAAAAAAAAGCTTAGTGTCCTCTTGTTGGGTTACGGCTTTAATGTATAATGAACCATTTGACAAAAAATGTTGACTTACAGTAAACTTGCATTATGTAACATCTGTGTTCCATCAGCAATGATTTCTAGTTTGTCCTCAGGTATACAAAGCCAGTGATTAAATGCCTTCAAATTTAAGCAAAAATTTAAAAAACATGATGATGGTTATTTTATCGTTATCTTAAAATGTTTCATTCATTATCATCATCATCATTAACAAAGCTTTTCGTCTCCTGACATTGCGCACCTCACTATCTCTTTCCAACTGGTTTGATTGCTGCCATTAGGTGCATGGACCCAATATTTATATAATCCTTAAAAAAAAATAAATAAAACTTTGCCGAGCCTGTGGGCTCACAGGGCTGGAGCTTATCCCCAGTTTCTGTAGTGAGAAACAAAAAATAATACAGCAATAGGTAGTTTTTGCCGCACGACGTTAAACTTGTATGACGTCATAATTTATTCATCTTGCGTTTTGGAGTACATTAATTTCAGGATTTACGTGCTCGACGTACGTTAGTTACGGGTTTGCGCATGCATGTTTCGATTTGTTTTGGGGCAGAGCTATCGCGTTGCATGTTGGGTACTAACGTTAAAGTTAAGGTTAACGTCGTGTGGCGAAAACTACCTATTAATATTAATATTATTAATATGTCATATAATTAATTGATTAATGGACATAAATCTCTATTGATATACTCTGGCCATTGACATGCACCAGCTCTATGGATATATCTTTATCTATTTTTTAATTACAAATTTAACAGAAAATACTAACTGGGGTATGTCTAAATATTACTTGATAATTACCTTGTATTAATTTTACACTTTATTAAATTTATATTTTCATAACAAATGCAAAATTGGTTAATGAAAAAATGATTTTATCATAGGAATACTACAAACCTTTACTTGATACATTATGAATATACGATGAAGTAGGCCAATGCCATAAGCCCCACCCCTTGGAGATTGTTGCTAAGGTCCCAAGGCCCTGTTTTAATTGGTTAATGCTATGGTAGTAGTTTGATTGGCACTCAGAAAGGTCCATTCATTTTTATAAGATTAACCTATATTTCTCTGTCTGGCATTTACCGCAAGCATGGTATACCGGTACCGGTACTGGTAAGGGCATTTTTTAATGCGTCTCTTCCTGAAGGTTATAAAGCGCAGTTCTCTTCCCTGGTCATTGGGTCCACATGCTTTAAGTGTTGATTCTGGTAATCAGTGCAGGAGCAGGCAACCCCACCAGGTACTCATTATACTCCTGGGTGGAGAGATGCAATGCAGATAAAGTGCCTTGCTCAAGGACACAAGGGAAATGCACAACGACGGATTGAAACCCCAACCACAAGGTTGGGAAACCAAACCGTTCTCGCTGCGCCAAACTGCTTCCACATACTGTACAATGCAAGATTAATCTGTTTGTATGGATAGTAAATAGTATACTGTATGCACCACACCAAGGGAACTAACAAGATAACCCTACACATACCTTGTAAGTAAGACATTTTGATTTCATTTTGAACCTTGCTTATTTTGAATATGAAAGGAGAGACATGGAATAGCCTTTCTCTGTGTCAGAGGAAATTTTCTTGGCATCAAATTCAAGAAATGCCCCAAACAAATGAATGTTAGCCATTAATTCATATAAAAATGTATGCACTCTTGATTAATTTCATGATACAATATTGTTTATTATATATTTTAATTAGAAAAAAAATGTTTAAAAACTTTACTTTTATTAATTTCATTCGAATCCTTTTCCCTGGAACTCTGAGACAATATTTATATGGTTCAAGTAAAACCTGAAAAAAAAAATTATCAGTACATTAGTTTACTGTCTGCAAAGACAATCAACAACAAAAATCATGTGAATAAAAAGGGGAAAAAAAACAACTCAATATTTTTTACATTTAAGAGACAAGGGGTGGGTTTAGAATTTTTTTTAAACAAGGGGCACCAATTTCATATAGGCCTAGATGTAATACAATTAAACCTAACAATGGTATGATTTGTGCTCAGTATCTGTTAAGAAACATGACATTCAATATTTCTATGTTTAGTTATTTAACAATAAAAGATGACCAGTCCCTAAACCCTTCCCTGGAGAGCACAGAATTCTAGCATTTCAAACTTTTACACATTCATTTTGATATAATGCAAAAACACAACGCAAAAACACAAAGGAGTACCACAGTCGTGTCATCACAACGCCAGGTAGCGCCCTCTGTTAACCAGACATTGGTTACCGTTCATTATGCCTGAATGCCTGCATGCTTTCTGGAATAGGCATCTTAAAGTCTAATATTTTACCATCAAAATGTACTAAAAACACAAAAAGCTTGCATTATATTAGTTATTGAACACAATAACTAATTAAAATTTACAAAGAGAAATTAAGATACAATTTCTTAATAATTACGTTAGAAATTTGGATCAATGGTTTGTGAATAGGGAAAATGGCGCCGGTTGAACGAATTTTGTGTCGCCGATAGCAACAGAGCAGTATCGCATGGTATCGTGACTTAACACTTTAGTACTCTATAGAAATTGTTTCTAATGCCAATAGAAAAATATGTTTTTATAGTTACCTCATTGAATTCAGATTCCATCTCAGTCAAAAACTATTTGTTTATTTCAGTTGTGAGTTGCCTTTTATACTACAAAACAAACAGATGTGGTTTTACTCCAAGTATCAATCAAAGTATCAGGTAACAGGTAATCACATCTACATGTTTTGCTAAAGTTCTATTAAAGCATGCCCATTAAATGTGGGTCAACTTGAGCATAATGTGCCTACTCATGCATGTCCTAATCCAGTGCAATTGCAAACAATAAATTAGAGGTACCTGCATAATTATTTTTAGTTGCGGTACATTTGAGATTCCATTCAGGATTTAGTTTTTCATTATTTGTATTTCACCAACTCACCATGTCATTGTGCAGCAATCAAATAAAAATAAAAATTGAACATTATACAGCTTGTTTTACATGGGTGGTCTCATAGCAACCACCCAAGAGTAGCATTGGCGGTTTTGTAAATATTTTGAATTTTACTTATAATAAATAGGACAATTAATGCAGTTAAATATGAATAAAGTATGGACAGTCTTTCCAACCTGAAATAACATTAGGATAATTTTGATCACCCAGTTTATCAAAAATTGCCTTTGCGTATGGGTTTGATAATCCCCTTATTGTGTCGAAGCGAATTCAATGGCTGGTTGTTAAAGCGTGCGAATTGTACCATTGCCAAATAGGGGTATTTAGTTTGTGTGAATGTAGAGAAAGTTGTAGGTGCAAGCTCATAGTACTTTATAATAAACAAAAAGGTAATATTATTATTATACTTCAGTAGGTATACATTTTTTTAACATTGTGCAAATGTGCCTGTTACAGATACTTCTACCATGCATGACACATTGAAAATGTTATGGTCTGATTATCAGATCTGAAACCGGAGCTTCGCCGAGGAGAATACGTGGGCCTAGCAGAATATTGTCATTTATACACTGTCATAACTACTATATTTGTTATGTAAATACATTAAAAATATATCTATACATTCACCTACACATGCACAAACTAAAAATCAAAATAATATTTGAAGATTAATGCAAATAACATTCTAAATTTTTACTTCAAAGTTAAGCTCCTTCTGCTCGACAATACGGCCGAATACTCATTCGCCATTCTTAAGCATTGGCTTCTAAACTGACTTGCTACAGAGTGATTCTTACAAAAATAACAAGTCTGACGTCATTTATTAACCAATCAAATTGATTTTTACATATGTTGTAGTTAATAAATAAAGCTACATGTTGCCACAACAATGCCGAAAATCGGCCCAATATCAGCGGAGCTACTACAAGGAAACTTTGGGCGGTTCACCACATTTCTGCTAAAACCGTAGGTTTTACACGGAAAAATTTGAAAAACCATGGTTAAAAAATTAAAAATTCCGACGAGATTTGACAATCTTATGGATTAAAATTAAGATTACTAAAACTGTTATTAAATTTGGAATAGGATAAAAAAGAACAGTAGCAAAAATCTGACAAGAAGAAGTCAAGTTATGAAGAGAAATGTGCAAAAAAATAGGAAAACAGCTGAAAATCGAACGTTTCGAATTAAATTAAATGAATTCGCGACGATCAAACTTATCCTAATGACAGTAGACTACTGTATGTAAATTGTCAAACCTCGTATCTTAATTTTGGATGGTCCAACTATAGATAGATAGAAATCTTTCTTTATTCTGGATACTCAGTCAGTATTAGTACACTGTTCTTCCCTGAGGTCCAGGGTATGATCTTAAACTACTTTAAATTAAAAACAGAATGGATAAAGAAATATATAAGTTACATAAATATAAGAAGCAGAAAAAAAATTGGTAAATTAAATTAGATTTTTAAAGGATTGTAGGGAAATAGAATGAATATTACTGCGGATATCTGATGATAAATTGTTCCATAAATTAACGGATCGGTATTTAAATGTTCTTTTTCCAAAATCATTCTGCCCTTTTGGTGAGATCAAAGTGTTTTTTGATTTGCTTCTTGTATTTATGTTATGATATTCATCGATTAATTCGTAAAAATGTGTTAAGTATGCTGGAACAGTTCCTGATAAGCATTTAAGTGTCATTACAAGAATATTATATTCCCATTGTTTATCCACAAGCTTCCAATTTAGTGATTCCATAAGATATAATTATCATGTGCACAACATTGGGTTTTGCAGTTCAGTTTGTGTAATACTTCAAGCTTAGACAAATGGATCTAGGAAGGATGAACTGGATGCAAAGATCAACTTGTCTTAAATTGGATCTTTCAAAAAACCTCAGAGTTTGAGGATCCTAAAATATTCCCCTCCACGAAAAAAGCTTGAGTCCCCATCCAGACCCCATTTATAAAGTCTGAAGCAAAAATAGCATGTTCAAGTAGTTAAAACTTACCTCAAATCACCTTATTTTGCAACTAGTGCCCCCCCCCCCTCACATAATCATCAAGCCTCTCCCCCGGTACCCCACTTCAAGTTCAAGATCTCCAGATACGGATACGCCACTAATCCTGAGACACTAGCCTACGGGATTTGTTTGTAATATGTATGATGAAAGTGAATCTAGACAATTACTGTATACAAATTATAATCTGGATTCTATGTTGTATGCCTAGTCCCTACATTAATAATACTGTACTAATATTATATTATAATAATACTAGGCCTATGGCAACCTATGTAATAGTATTTACTATATTACTGTATGTATGTCATGTGTTTGGGCATGTAAGTCTAATTCATACATATATTAAATAGGCCTAGTACAGTAGTCATATTTGAATAGGCCTAGATCATAGTTATTTTAGCAATTCCTATTGATGTTTATATTTATAGCAATCGCATAGGACTCTAGGCATAGGGCCTAGGCCTAAATAAAATTAAGAGAAAGAGTCATCTTGTCAGTAAATAAACAAGACTTCCTTATTCAGAGTGTTCCTTATTCACTAGCTTATCATCACAACAAAAACAGATCACATGCTTAAACCTCGGTCTCTGATTGATGAGGATGAGTATGCCTAAACAATAATTACACAACAGCAGGCTATACCTACTCTGTCAGTGTACCCTTGGGCTTTTTTATAGTCGTATTTAGAAAATTTGTAAGCGTGTAAGTTTCATACCAACAGAGGTCTTCCCATCAACACAACACAACGAATTTTATTCCTCCCCGTTCTTGGTTTATCAATATTGTGATTCTGCCCTCTACATGTGGTGTACGTGGAACCGGTCGTACGTGACGTATGTGGCGCTCTACTACTACAGTTTGTTTGTTTTTATCATAGAGCTTTTAAATTCTTATTATATCTCTATGGTTTTTATATACTCTTTGTTTACACACATAAGAGAAGCAAACATAAGGCCTAGGCGTAAACACAAGTTTATATAATGCAGCCGGCTTCCTTCCAAGGTTAGTTACCCTAGCTAGGAGGCCTAGCTAGTTATCCTAGTTAACCTAGGCTAGCTAGAATAGGCCTTTTTCACGAATCGGTAGACATCTTGAACAGTGTGACCACTCACAATTTTTGATATACCCAAGGTCTGGGTCGAAATTACCCAAGATTCAGCAAAAATTGTCCAAAATTACCCAAGCTTCCTGAAAATGCATTAAAATTTGAAAAATACGTGTTTTTCGCATGTATAGTTTCCCTTTTAGGTCAATTTATAAACCAATTTTTTATTGTAGTTATTTGTGTTAATTATTAAAATTAATATTCATGAGGTGATACAGATAGAAAAAAACGCGCAGTCGGCCAGTGTTATCAGTAGATCAGTGATCAAGTTTTATTATGTAATGCATTAATTAGGTAAGATCAATGGCAACACAAATCACAAATAAACAATTGTGAACCCATGTTTATAGCAATTAACAGTCAATTAACAATGTTATGTGCACTTCGTTGAGTTTTGCTTACTTGAATGGACTGAAATATACTTTGTTACTTCTTAATTCTTCCTCTATGACAAAAATATTTAATTTTCTTTAGTAAAAATAAAATACCCAAGGATTTGAATGGAATACCCAAGAACCCAAGACCAAGTCAAAGCACCCAAGATCTTGGGTAATACCATAGAGAAGATAGTTCTATTTTCTCTATGGTAATACCCAAGCAGTGGTCACGCTGATCTTGAAGTGATGACAAACATTGCGAATCAGCGGTGCGTAACCAACAGAAATAAGATAAGCTTTTGGGCTGATTTTCTGACATCATGCTTTTTAAAAAATCATAACTCCATAACGGGGCGTCGTATCCAAAAAATGTTTCCAGGAAAATGTTCTTAAAAGACCAGTCTACACCACTATATGATTGAAAAAAAATTGAAAAATTTGTTTGACCTCTGAAATCAAGATTGAAAAAGAAAAGCCTATCTTAGTAGTGTATTAAAATAGGCCAATGCATTACAGTGCAGTAGCATAGGACTTTCATGTTGTTATTGTTCCAAGTAGCATTAATATACATATTTCTCTTATTACAAAATACAGGTTATGTTTTATAAAGAGGTATAGTATAGTAAATCATGTTTTTAACACAGGAAACTCTCATATGGTAACTAAAACAAAGCTAGTTCAGAGTATTACTAGTACTACAGCACTGTAATGCATATACCTATTTTAATACACTACTGAGATAGGCTTTTATTTTTCAATCTTGATTTCAGAGGTCAAAAAAATTTTTCAATTTTTTTTCAATCATATAATGGTGTAGACTAGTCTTTTAAGAACATTTTGCTAGAAAAGTTTTTTGGATACGACGCCCTGTTATAGAGTTATGATTTTTTAAATAACATGATGTCAAAAAATTTGCCCAAAAGCTTATCTTATTTCTGTTGGTTACGCACCGCTGATTCGCAATGTTTGTCATCACTTCAAGACGTCTACCGATTCGTGAAAAAGGCCTATTATGTATTATATAGTACAAGGATCTACTACTAGCAACTAGGCCCAGCTAGTATAAAAAAAGTAAGTATCATATTATTACTTCTAGTAGGCCTAATAATAGGGGCCTAGTCTAGCTAGCGATCATGAATTTCTTGATTTAATGCTTGCTCGGTAAAGGTAATTATATATTCTAACCCCTAAGCTTGGTGTTCATAATATATTTTAATATAATTACTATGTAATAAATACAGTTTGCAAAATGTTTTATTATAGTAAAAATATCATTCATCAAACTTGGGTACGGGTTTGTATAATGAATGGCATGTACGGGTTGACTAAAGATGTGTACGGGTAAGCCAAAATTGTGTGTACGGGTCGACCAAAATTTGGGTACGGTTTGTGGGTATAGATTGGCATGGGTACGGGTTCACCTGTATTCATTACAATCAATGGTACTTGTCCTATTATGCTTAAATAGACATAGTAAATACTATGTTAATAATTATTTTAATTCTGGGGTTTTTTAAGACATATTTGAGTATTGTAGACATTTGTAAGTCCTCAGGACCAGATACTGTAAGTTGATTATAAAGTAGTAAAGATGTTTTGAATTTGAGTTCAATAATTATTTTTGAATTTTCTTATTTGCAGATTGTTGAATGAAGTAGCAATATCATCCGTACATAAATGTAGGTTCCGATTCCACATTGATAGTACTGTAATCTTGCAAAACAATAGTATTGTATTAAGTTTTCTGTAATATAAATTTAAGTGACTATCTATCCATCTATCAATACAATTACTGTATGTAACTTTAGCATGCTGTATATTAGACACAAAGTAGAGAATATAACACAGAATACCTTGTACACATGGTTAGAAATTCATCAATTAACCAAGTTTGTGAGACAATAAATTTAAAGAGTAGTAGTTGTATTATATGGTATTAAACCATTTTCAAACAGAATCAACATTACATCAATGCTTCTAGTTCTGTACTTTTATTTTAGGTCACTAATAGAAGATCTGCCATGGGAGGATGTCATCATAGCGAGAATCCTGTCATATTTTTCTTTGAAGGAAGTCTTTCGTCTTCGTCAAATCTGCAAGGACTTTCGAGACATCGTAGACATTTATCTTGAGCGTCTGCAGTCTATAGACCTATCCAGTGTCAAAAACAAAATATCGGTCGAAACTTTCCAGTCTATTACAAAATCAAGATGCTTACGGGAATTAAAACTCGGTGGACTTAAGTGGTTGAAAGATGAAAATATTCTGCATGTCATCGAAGGCAATCAACTTTTAGAATCAATAGATTTGTCAGATGGATTAAGTTTATCAGGAGTGACGATACAAGCGATCGCAGTGAACTGTAAACTGTTACATACACTGCTGCTGAAGAACTGCCATTGGCTTCAGTCACCCATATTGGAGATGTTATTGTTACAGTGTGGAAAATTGACACATCTGGACTTGACGGCTTGTTGGGAGCTGACTGATGATACAGTGTTTGTTATATGCAGTACGCAGAAAAACCTGAAATGGTTGTCCCTAGCCAAGATCTATGGAATAACTAACAGATCAATACAAATATTACAGAACAATAAGATAGAATATCTGGATATTGAGGGTTGTTGGAGGATTACCAATCCATTCATAAGGTAATGAGTTTTTTTTTTTCATAAATTGGTACAGAATTTTCAATTGACATACAGTATTTGAATATTTAAATTATTAATCATCAAATTGTTTTGAACTTCCCTGGTATAAACCCACCCGAAAATATATGCTTGCCAGCTAACTTTAGATTAATAATGACCATTAAAATCTTTTATGTGCACATAAAACTACAATATGACTGTTAAATTTTTTGAGTTTAGTATTATCAATAAATATTGAAAGTTACTCTAATTTCTTTTTTTACTCAGGAGCCTTGGAGCTAACTGCCCAGAACTTAAAGAACTACATGTTAACGACTGCAAGGCTATAAACGAGGCCAGTCTGGCACGATTACGCGTTCGGGGCGTGAAGATTGATACTAAGCCACCGCAACGACTCCAACAGGCTGTCGGCGCTATGGGAATGCGTATCAATCTTGCACTTTAATTATGTCTGATAATAACTACAGTAGCACAATGGTGCAATCTTGATCTACTGAATATTTGGGTCATGATTTTTATTGTTTTTCTATCTCAAATATTTAACACTATTTACATACCACATTAACAAAAATTTGTTACCAAGTGTCATATCAACTGAAACAGAAATCAAAAGCACAAAACCAAAGTTTGATAATTGTATGTTGCCGCCTCTCTTGTTTTTTGGCATCTACAGGATACAAATCCTGAAATCCAGATACTCATTATATAGAAGTGGTGTCCGTTTCAGTGTTGTTAAACACTCTCTGTATTGCAACCACTTATTTGCCAGGCGGCTATGTCAGTAAAAAGCAATACTATATTGCACTAACTGCCTATCCACCTCTTTGTGTGATTTCTCCTTCGGTCATACCTAACCCTAATATCCAGTCCTGCATTGGCATTGTTTTGCTTTGCAATGCATGGCCTTTATTGTCTCTGTGCTGCTTTTAAGTCTCAGACCACCTCAGTTACCACTTCGTCTCCAGCATGGTCACAAATCAACTACTTGGGTCTACTGTATGTCGTACAACTCTATGGATAATGTTATCGCCGATGTTCAACATCCCTTTTTTAGAGCAAGCTTGTTTGAACTATTGTTGATATGATAAACAATAGATTGTTGATACGACTACCCTCAGTATTCATGCAATGCCATCACACCAACATCATATTCCCAGGTTACCATGAAGTACCTGTGAAACAGAATGTCACACCACAAAAAAAAAAATGAAATGTTGCCAGTTAGGCTACTGTTTGTCCTCAATGCCAGGTCCAAGGTGCTGTGAAATTTCATTCCATTGGAACATATCTAGGTATCATTTGTCCCTCCAACATTAATTGGCAAGCCTTGAGTTTTTTTGTTTGTTTTTTATCATATACAGTACAATGGCATTCCAGCGCTAGACTAGAGGCTACCTAGATACATGCTTGTTTGAAAGGAGAGCAGCCCACTGCCTCAGAAGGGCCTCTTACTCAAATCATTTTGATGATCTGGACAACCTCATGGTAGAAATTTATATAATGGAAATAACTTTCCACTGCTTAAAATCAAGACCAAAATTTTTAAGTTCCATACCATATTACACACAATTACTCTGCATCTCACAGCTCCCCCTCTTGTCATCCTGGCATTTGAGACAGCGGTGGTACCAGAAATTTGCTGGAAAGGGGTTTGACAGGGCCTCGGTTGACAGCCCGGAATAAAACAGTTCTAGGTAGGGTTCACAGGGAGAGTTTGGATTAGTATGGATTAGTTTATGGATTAGTATGGGACAAATCCTCCACAAGGGGGAGACAAATCCTCCCAGCCCCCTGCTGGCGTCATCGCTTATTTGAGCCACTGGCTGCTCCCCTCTCTTAGAGAGATGAGGTTGCTTTGTTTTTCAACAATTTTATACTGTATAATGATTTTAATGGACTGTCCCGAGTTTACTCCGAAATTCCTTATTCAGGAAACGCGCAAAGGTGCGAAGTGTGGTCAGCAGTGACTGGAATAAGTTTAATTCACAACATGACCCCCAAGGTTGACCCTGAAAACAACTGCTTCAAGGTGCTTAACTTTATTACAAATTTTAAATTTTAAAAGTTTTGTTTTTGTTTTAATTCAAATAATCTACAAGTTGTTTATATAAAATGTAGATTTTAATTATTTATTAATACTAATTATCTAAAAAGTTGTTATATATATTATTTCAATTTGTATTTATTATATTAATTTCAAAGTGTCCAAAAAGTATGACAACCCGGATGTGCTGATAATCATGTGGGATCAAACTGCAGATGTTGCATAGACAAATTTGGGTTGGGGAGGCAGCAGCCAGCCTGGGTCCCGTAAATTTTTCAAAATTAAAAAAAAAATTTGGGGGAAAAGAAAATTGCATTCATATTTGTAGGCTAAGGAGTGCCATTTCCAGTCATCTAGAAGTGCACAGACATAAAATGTCATACTTCAGCCGCAACCACGGTGGGGCTGAGGTGGTCTGGACCCACCATCTATAAAATTAACTTTCTGGGCGTTCTATACCAAATGCCTGGATCCCCTACTGTGATGTGCTGTAAAGTTACCTCTGCACCCACTCTACCCCTATCAAAATCAATTTTGATGACACTTGTGAGTGTATTGTTTCATAATAATTTTTGTCACCTACGTATCTCTGTTGTATCAAATATGGTATACGCTAATGAAGTCTACACAGTACACAAAATATTTGTGCCTAATAAATTTGTTCCAAAAATATGTCAGTCCTACTGTGTTTATTTATGTTAATGGTCATATGTTGTACTTGGTATGGAAGAATACAATAAATCTGACAATGACAGCAATCAATTTTTCTCATAAATGTATTATCATCTGTATATACAACTCTTTTACAATAATGGAAAAATAACTCCATCTCTGATTTTATATATATATATATATATATATATATATTGTAATAGCATAACATCATTTCTATATCCTGAAATATCAACCGTGTTCATCTTCATTTCAATTAATTTTATACTAGCCTGGTTCTCACGAGAGCCCTAGTATCCGGATCGGGAGCCAACCGTTAGCAAGCGCTATCGGTTAGCAAGTTGAGGCCGTTTCTATCATCAACCAATCACATATACACGTTTACAATTTCCAGATTCTTATGGGCCAATGATTCGATCATCATATTATTGGTATCCGGATCGGGATTTTCTCGCATGGACGCACAGCAGCTAACAGTTAGCAGGATCCGGATCCTGCTATTACCGTTAGCTGCTGTGTGAGAACATAGCCATAGTTTTATACAAAACTCTGTAGGTTTTTTGCTAGTGAAAGCCACAGGAAATATTGTAATGGAAAATATTTGTATATCAATAATGTTATTTTTATTATGGCAGAATTATGAATAATATCTAAACATTAGGATATTTATCTTGTAAAAATCTAGTTTCAATGAGAGATAACAACTTCCAATTCAAAGCAGTATTATCAAGCAACCAACATGTGCAAAAGTGTACCAGGAAGCCACCCTTGACTCATACATCTTCAAGTGAATGATCTAAAATGTTAAGGTAGACCTGTAAATCTATATAATCTGTAAATGTTACTGGCTGTGCTAAAATTCTTACTAATAAGAGTTATTGTATAAATATACAATTGTATGTTCTATTTAAAAATATAAGAAAATCAGCTAAATATTTACTTATAATATATGTTGAAATATAAAATACTTCAATTTCTTTTAATATTTTGTGCTTTCAAAATGTGTAGAAATTCTTCTTAATGTTAGCAATATCTGCTAACCAGGGAACTATAGTTTAAAATTCAAGGTTAGGTAAATCACTGTCACTACCAGACGATTGCGTCTCCATGAGGGGTGAATATGATGGGCTACCGTAAGGCCTGTCAACATGAAGGCTGTGTTCGGGGCTTGCATCACTACCATGTGCCTGTATCTCCTCCAGGGGTGAATATGACGGGCTACCCTGGGAATCAATTGGAATGTTCCATTCATTGACGTTGATCGCTGGTGTAATAGGCTTGTCATTTACCTCTCCTTGGTTATTTTCAGTAAAATTTTGTTCTTCTGTTGGGTAAATCGTTACTAACAGAGAGTAGTAAAAATTAAAATTTGTAATAAGAATGTAGAAGACGCTTTGTTTATAAGGAAATATTACAATGTTACCAAATTCATGTTTTCAATGTACCTTCAGTATTCCTACAGGGTGTGGTAAAGTAGGATTTTAGTATCAACACTGTTTTTGCATTACCAGTGGCGGCTCCAGGAATTTAATATACACAGACAGAAGAAAAATGATGATTATGGTACCTATAGATGGCTGGTAATGGCACTCTGAGATTTAAATTTGAACATAATTTTTTTTTCTCCATTTTTTATTTAGTAAAATATGAGGGGGGGGGGGAAATCCCGGCTTAATCCGCCACTGATTACCAATATTAACAAAATATTTGTAGACATCCTATCATAAGATTCAGGCCCCAGACCCAAATATAATTGTTCAGCAACTGAGGAACTTTACCTGCTGTGATGTCAATAATATCTGATGCACTACGTTTGGCTGCCTCCTTCCCAATAAGTGATTCTCCAACTTGGGATTTTGTTTTGGTCGCATCAATACTTTTATCTTTCCATTTCTTGATGAATTGTTTAGCAGATTGGATGCCATGCGGATAGTCTGAAGAAGGGGAAAAAATGATAATTAATATTTAAAAAAAAAAAAGGGGAAAAAAATTGCAAAAAATTTACTTCAAGGCTTGATTGAAAATTTTTATTTTAAAAAGAAATTGAAAATGTGTGCAGCACAGCACTAGTATCGACATGTATTGTTCCTTATCTCACCTAATTCTCATGTGAGGGAGAACTGAGCAGTCAGAATTGGATTAAAAACTGATGCTTTCTGGGGGTTTCAACTGAAGTCTTCAGTGCAAGAAGTAGGAACATTAATTCTCACTCAAACGCTTGACTCTTTATTATTTTATACATAATTTATGTATTTAGGCACAGGTGTAGCTGTTTTCTTTGCAAATATTGAATAGGTAATAATTAGCAGAATGTATGAAAAAATAAAATAACCTAACCTATGCTTTTTTGGGGTTTCAACTGAAGTCTTTTCAGTGCAAGAAGTAGGAACATTAATTCTCAGTCAAATGCTCGGCTCTTTATTATTTTATACATAATGTATTTAGGCACAGGTGTAGTTGTATTCTTATTATTGAATAGGTAATAATCAGCAGAATGTATGAAAAAATTTTAAAAAAGCAACCGAAAAACAATTTCAGTTATTGCAAAATACCTTTACAAAGGTTAATGATCAGGCCCCATAGCTGGTTCTGAGATAGGATTCTAAGGTGTCCAATGATAAACAGATGAAATTTACTTCTTGTCAGTGCTACATTGGTTCTCCTGAAAAAAGAAAATAACACAAGCCAAGAATTGGATAATTTTGAGCTGTCATGATAAAATGAGTCTTGTGGTATGCCAGTTCAATTTGATATATTTAAGAAAATATATTTGAAGTGATATTTTTACAAAAATTGGGTTTCAGTTTTTCTGGGAAAATTTAATATGTATATTTCATAGTAGCAAAATTTCTGAGTTGAGTTACCTAGGTAAACATGTTTTTGAGGCACATTTTGCAAAGTTATTTTTCAGAATTGATGGGAAAACTAACACAAAATTGGAAATGCCTAAAGCGATTGTCATACACACATTTGGGAATTTACTTCAAACAATGGTTGCAAACTCAACAATTGCTAGCATGATGATAAGATCTGAAAATAACTGTGTAATCAGTCTCTAATAGTACATGTAGGAATATTTTCTTTTGTGCAGGTCTAGTGGGCATGCAGTAGAAGAGGTTTTAATATTTGCCATGCCAAAACCGGCAGAAATTTTTAATGTATTCATATCCTCCACATTATAAGCATTAAAATGTTCTGGAATGGTTAGCCTCATTTATGCTTTAAATTACCAAACCAAACCAAATGAATTATACTACAGAATGTATTGATCTTACTTGTAAGAGTCTATGAAGCCAACGTAGTCGGTTCTCACACAAGATAATAGAACCACATTCTTCTCGCCTCCCTGGAAAGCATCAACCGTTGAGATCTGAATGCGACGAACATCCTCCGGCTTTAACTTACTGACAAAGAAACCAACAGGAAAGACATTATAGTGAGGACATTGCTGTAATATATTAAAGTTGTGCGAGCACTCTGAGTCTCACAGCAGATCTTGACTTTTTAATCAATAGTTGGTTTATGTGCAGAAGACATTTTCTACAAAATAATAACAAGAGGCTAATAATAATACAAAATATTGTTTGCATGGCATCTTCAGGAGACGATTGAAGCAACTCAATCGAAACATCAAGACATTCTCAACAAAACAACAGTTCTTTTCAGAGCTATTTACATGGTGTACCACAAGTATTTAATATAATAATACAATAGCTAGTTGCAATGTTAATAAAATAAAATTAAAAACCTTTATATAAGGGTAATAAACGTGAAAGGTGCATAGACACACCAACTTTACAAAATTAGAATACTGCATTATCAAAATTATCTTTTATTTACTCATTATTTAATATCATTATGTTGATTATATTTTTTATTTCGCAACAGGCGGTGCTTGCTAATTGATTCACAGCTAATTATCATTTGAATGCTAATCGAACAAACAAACAAACAATTTTAATCTCTGCACTTCAAAAAAAAAACAAAGAAAAAGACAGTGATAAACACTCATTAAATTTTTATCATTGATGTTCAAAAAAATTAAATGATTGTTTATAAATACAGGTCTCCCTCCAATTAAAGACCACTTCTGAGACCGGGGTTTCAATGGTCTTTAGCAGCTTTGGTCTAGAATTGGAACAATAAAGATAAAAAATATTTTTTAATTTAGGACCACAGAAAAGTGATCCTTAATTGGAGGTGGTCTTTAATTGGAGGGAGACTTGTACAGTACATACATTTCAGTCTTCAAGAACTCAGCAATTTTAAAAGCTTGTGCTCTGTACAATGTTATGACCCCGATCTCAGAAGCATTAACTCCATTGTGAAGTACAACTTGCAGCAGAAACGCAATAAACCTCACTTCCTGTAGGTTGTAATAGCTGCCACTTGAATCACATTGCTCCTGACCTTCGTGAACATTATAGAAGCACAGAGTTGGCAGATCCTTCTGTCGATATCAAATTACATGTTTCTATTACCAGAATATTAACATTTTAATTGGCTATTATCAAATTACAGTAAACATTACGTTTTTCATTTCATTTCTTTAGGCACGAGCGCCAAGGATATGCCAATCAGTGAACTTAATCTTTATCCTATGTGGCGTATCCATTAAACAACAGGGGACTGAATGGACCAGCACACAAATAATTTTGTTTTACTCTTCATAGATTTTACAGCACTGAATGGACTGTAAGCACATGCACAATGTGTACAGGGCCCTAGTAAATAGAGCCCATTTTAACCCCACTAGTCGGGTGTTTGCCAGTTAGTGTATCAAGGTTTATGACCCACTAAACAGTCAATTATATCCTTGAGTGAGGCATAGCTAGTCCAGTTTCACTACTGTACTACATTCAGTGACCTTGCTTGCAAAAAAATAAACTGCTGTGATTAATGTATGTAGTAAGCTCTTTATAAATATATTCTGTAATTACATACTGCAAACAAATGTAAGGGACACATAGCCTATGTTATCATGGATCCTGCTAACCGTTAGCTGCTGTGCGTCCATGCACGAAAATCCCAATCCGGATACCAACAATATGATGATCGAATCACTGGCCAATAAGAAACTGGAAATTGTAAACGCGTACGTGTGATTGGTTGATGATAGAAACACCCTCAACTTGCTAACCGATAGCGCTTGCTAACCGTTAGCATATCCGGATACCGCTAACGGTTAGCACTAACCGATCGGGCATTCTCATGCAGGTGCTAACGGTTAGCGCTAACGGTTAGCTCCCGATCCAGATACCAGTGCTCTCGTGAGAACCAGGCTCTAATGTGTTTCTTACCATTAGTTGCTGTCTTTGTTCTGTGTTTACTCCATCAACAAGTTGATTATCGTAGAAAAGCTGATTAGAGAGGGCGCTAATGTGGGGATGGCACCTGTACTGAGTACGTAGCATGACTGCTTCAATCCCCTGCAAGAATAAATTAAGAATAGCAAATATTAATAATAAGTTAAATTTAAATAACTCATAACGCATAAAGCTTCAACTGCCGTTGTGGAATGATGTGAAACGAAGCTACTATAATAAACACCTCTTTATGGTGGCTAGGTAGTCACAGATCACGTCCATACGCGATTCAGCACAAGACGCTGCGAGTTATGGGTTATTTTCTTATCTTTACCCTTTTTTTTACTTATAACATTTTACATTTTAAATTCTGACACACAATAGTCCTCAAACCTCAGATACCTTACTTCCTTTTATAAACATCTTCAATTTAAGATAAAAACAAATAAAAGCATAAATCCTCCTTACCATGATCACAAGCCTGCCAAAGAGAGTCTGTTCCAGCCCATAAGTAGTTGCGGCTTCTGATCCCTGTATGGTTGGCGGAAGCTGTTTTGGATCACCAACTAAGACAAGCTTTTCAGAATGAAACTTTGCAATGGGCAGTAAAGATGCTGGCTCAGTCATTTGACTGCACTCATCCAATAACACAACCTTAACCAAAAATTATAGAGCCACAATTTGTTAAGAGTGTTATTGTGTGGTGGCATGGAGCACAGTTTACACTTCCATGAAAGAGTTCAGTCACAGAAAAATGTCAGGATAATTTTAAAATTTAAAACAATATAGAGAGACAAGTATTAAGTTCAAAGTCCAGACTGTCAAATTTTCTTTGACCAAAAAACTATTGTATGCCCATATATGTTGTGCCAGAATGGTCATATGAATATATAAACAAAGTAAACAGTAAATATAAAACATGTACATCATACGCAATAATAGAAAAACAAGTTGTTTTCTAATTTTAAATTAAATAACTTAACAAAACCTACCAAAAAAGAAATAAATATAACTTACAGGGAATTTGAGTTTATCGATACAGGGAAAGGCACAGGCAGCGCATGTGACAGCAACAACCTTAACTTTGGCTAGTAGGGCTTTATTATGCCCCAGACGCTGTCGCTCAAGACTCTTCTTAATCAGCTGTTTTTCTGATGGTGTGAGGTCCGACTTCAGCATCTCTTGCAGTTCCTTGATGTCATCATTTTTTTTGTCAGATGCATGTACACTGAAATCAAGAGTGAAAACTTCCATCATTGTTATTTCGTTGTTGTGTTGTCCTCTTACAATTTGCCCTCAATTTCAAGACCACTTTGGGACCTAAAAATTTGGAGTGGTCTCGGGGTGTGGTTTCCACTTAGAGAGTTTGCTTTGTTTTACAAGAGTGAAGATTTTTATTTAGTTCATTGAAAAAGCAGTCTCGAATTAGAAGGGTCTCAAAATTAGAGGGGTCTCGAATCGGAAGGTGCACTTTATTTAACAAGTCAATTTATGGTTATATCCTAATTTAACCCTGATTTGACTTGATCACTTATCAGGTGAAATATTGTCTCCTGAAACTCGACAAAGGTAAAAAAAATGATTTCTAATTTATTTTACTCACTTTTAAAATACAAATCAGCAAACCTAGGGGGAAAAAAATGGTGATTTTGTAATGTGTACTCTGACTTTTCTACCCAATAATGACAAAACTTATAGCAACACTTTCAGTGTCAGGAAGTAGGGGATCAACATGAATAGCAGAGGTTTACATCCTACCTGTATGGAAGAATCGGTTTGCTGATTTTCCGAAGACTTCCAACACGGATGAAATCCTCAAAGCCAAGATCTAACAACCTAGATAGAAGAAAACCACTGTCATTTTCACATTAACAAATTAAATACACTGGATGGTGGAAAAGTCAATACCATTTGTACTACAATAGCATTCTTTTTTCAATAAGGTATTAAAATGTTCATTAGATTAAATAAATTTGAAATTAGATGGACACGCACCCCATCAGAATTCGGTCAACAGCAACATTGGTCGTAGAAGATATCAGAAGTTTCCAATAATCATCTTCCGAGGTTTCCAATTGGTCAGTTTTAATTGTAAACAAATGCACAAGGAACAACACAACAACAGATAACAGGAAACTTTTGCCAGCCCCAAAAACACCTGAAAAATATTAATATTAATTTTGTTAACATGTCATTCAAAAAACATTTGTATAAAGATATATTTACAAGATTAAAAATACAAGTAGAGATAAAGACTGGCAAAGTGGCTAGAATATATGGGGCTTGCCATCCGAAAAACCAGTGTACTAGCTGTTGCTAATTGTCTCTGGTCTGGTTTCTTTTATTATTATTTACCAGTACCAATATTCATAGTTTTATTAGTTCTTATTCGGTTCATACAGCTTATCATTTCGTATTCGATAACTTCTTATACTTACAGATATGCTGTATTCCAGTAAAATAAAAGAACACTTAGTTTACTTTACTTTTTTATTAAGCATTGTTAATATAAACAAATAAATAAATAAATAAATCAAAGAAAAAATATACTTAATACTTGGATGCAGCATATCTGTATTCCCTAGACTACCTGTATTTCTAATTTATTATGCAATTTATAATATGCCACTTTAATTTATTTACTTCATCATTTATGCTCTTTTTTTGTTTCTTTTTGTAACTCTGATTTTTAGCCGGTTACCAGGCCATAAAGTTTGTTCTCAAACTTATTATGGTCCCTGTCCACACAGTTTTACCTACTTATTTTCTCCATTTTTTTACTCCGTTTTACATTGTTTATAACCAATACTGTATTGTTTATATTATATATTTTCTGTGTGGAAAAACCTAATAAACAAACAAACAATTGTTAAACTGAGTAATTTATAGCATAAGAATGTGGCGGTATTGTATTTTGTATATTTTAGTACAGAGAAGCTGTAATACTTTTACTCATAACTTTGGCAATAGTAAGTCAATCCCAGTAAATGACCTATCATTTAAAACTTATAATGTGGAGAATACGAATATATTAAAAAGTCAATTTTCAATTTTTTTGGTCATTGATGCTGTTTTTTTCAATGGCAAGCCTCCTTTAATATAGATACTGAGATTACAACAGAAAATAACCAAAACCCAACACATTATTTCTATTATCACATTTAACATGAAGTGTAGCAACACAATATTTTGGTGGGTTTCGATCAAAATACATGAACAAATTTAAGTTTGGTACTGGGTATTGGAGAGTTAAATTTTTAATCAATTTCTGTTTCTGTGAGTTGAGGTTTACCGTGTATAAGAGTAATTGGAAGTGCCCTTCTCTTGGAGTTGTCAACTGAGTTGAACATGGAAGCCACTTGCAGCAAGGCTTCTGCTTGATCAGCATTCAAATGATAATTATCTATGAACTCATTAGCAAGCATTTCCTGTAATGATATAAAATAATGAGTAGATGTTGAGAGAATATGTCGGTCTTATTGATCGCATCATGCTACGGCCTCTAAGCGCTTCATAATATCACACGGTTCCTCACTTATGGAATTTATACAGTACACAGTTTCTTGGGACAACCTACCAGATACCACTTTATACTCCCAAATGATGACATCTTTATATAAACAATGGTTTAATAATAACTTATATAGCACATTATGATAAGCTCTCTATGCGCATTAAACATTATCATTGTTTGTTCGTTAATTTTTATTGTTTTTACCACACACATATAAAATATAAATTAATAATCAACGGTACACATCACAATCAAAAATAAATTCTCTAAACAAAATCGGAGAAGAAAGTAGGCAGTAGGTCAAAATCAGTTTGTAAAACACAATTAAGACATGACCAGCAGTTAAAACAATAATAATAATAATAATAATAATAATAATAATAATAATAATAATAATAATAATAATAAATAAATAAATTTAAATAATTATATTAATAATAACAATAATAATAATAACAATAATAATAACAATAAATAAAAATAATAGTAATAATAATAATAATAATAATAATAATTTAATAATAATAATGTTACTAAAACCTACTTTAAGGGGAACTTTGACAATGGAAAAATTAGAGAACAATTAAGAAAACGACATTTAGGGGAAAATAATATGACGGTAAGGGAAAAATAACACAAAAGATATTCCCCGAAGTCCAAGTTAGGGCTAGTTATTATAATGATTTACCATTATCGTTACCCCAGTCATTTGATTAAATGCATTTGGCATTTTGACCATACCAGGTACACGCTTATATTCCTGGGGGAAGAGGAAGCAATGCAGATGAAGTATTTTGTTTTTAGATGATCAGGGATCTCATAAACAGTGCCATCACTGCATAGTACATGCCTTAAAATCTCAGGCTTCTTGAACATATGTTTCAGTCTAAATTCATATACATTTGAACTAGTATACATACAGGTATAGGAGTTGGAGTCTGATCTTGAATAAATACAATATTAGTTTGATGATTGTTTGATTTGAATAACAGTATTACTTACAATTTCATGGCTGGTACAAGGCACAGTATGCAGTCGAGGGGTGCTACAAATTGGACTTTTGAAAGCTTTAGAAGACATTTGCCTGTTATTATCAGGATTGTAGGAACTAAAAATTTAAAAAAAATTAGATACATGATTTAATTTACAGGTTCTACACCATTATTATTTTTACTGTAAATAAATTAGTTATTTTAAATATAATTATATATTAAATAAGAATATATTATTAAAGTAAAGGCCTTTAATACTTTCATATTTAAAATGTGCTTTTCCATTGTATGTATATGTATACATATTTCAATTATCTTTGTGTATAAGTCATGCATGTTATAATTGCCCCATGTGGGATGAATTAAGATTATTGATTGATTGATAGATTTATTAAATGATTATTACTTATAACATACAGAATATATTTATGTTCACCTATAGCTTGCAATTGTTGAGCTTTTCTAGGATTTTATATCTATTATATAGGCAACATGTATCAATTAAGATACCGTAAAACCTCAAATAGAAGCTATGGCTTCTTCTTTTATTTTGCGACCTTTGGATGGACTTGTTTTTTAGATGTGCTTCTGTTCGAGGCTACTTTTGCAAAGTAAAGAGAGGGAGGGCGCAAATTTTCAAAATGAATGCTGTAAATTTTGGGAATTACTACTATAAAACAATATAAATATGCCCACTATAACATCAGTCTGTATCATGGAGTGTATTAACCAGCATTAAATCACCTCTACTGTATAAATCACGCCTATTTTTAATTATCATTTTTTTCTTTGAAACTGATGTACAAAGTATGTACTGTGGCTACTATCTCAAAAAGAAACCCATGCTGTCTGGAAAATGGGCTTCTTTTTGAGATTGGCTTCTTTTCATGACTACTTTTGCTAACTAGAGGGGCTTCAATTCAAAATGGACTTCTTCTCGAGATAAAGCCCACTGGGCTTCTATTCAAGGTTTTATGGTTAGTACTATTCATTTGTGCCTGTCAATCAAATCAACTCACCTGTCCATAAGGTAAGGTAGAATGGGTACAGTGTTCAGAGTTACATGTTCTTCAATGTTGGCAAGTTGAGCAAGTTCATTACTTGCATTCACTAGTAATAAGCTATGTACTGTGCCTGTACAAAAAATAGACAAGGCTTTTTTAAATAACTAAAATGATATAATTCAACAATCAGTGGGACATTATAATTGATTATAAAGAATAATTGTGATGATCATGATCATCTTTGTCATTATTATTAAGTACTAGACATCATTTTCACAACATTTTTTAAATTACCATGTATGACATAATTTCTTGTATCTTTCATCTTGTTTTAGGATGAAAGTGAAAAAAAGGACAGTGATCCGGGGCGGATCCAGAGATGTCTAAAGGGGGAGGGGGTGGCAAAAGTGGAGTTGATAGAGATAATAGTACTCTATGGGGTCCAAGTTTTTGTGTTCTAGACACCCAAAAATAGCCTCTGAAGCATTTTGGCGATTAGCCATTTTTTTTTTTTTATCTTTCTTTCTTTTCTTTCTTTCTTTTTTTTTTTTTACCTTCAAAAAGAGAGGCCGGGACTGACCACCCCCCCCCCCAAATCCGCCCCAGGTGATAATACTCAAGTTGACGATGAGGATGAGAATTATCAGATGATGATGATGATGAGGAAGATAATAAGAATGGGGATGATGAAGACAATAATGATGGGGACGAGAATTACACATTGATGACAATGGATATGATTAGGATGATGTTGATATGGATGCTAATGCAGATAATAATGATGATGATGAAGCATATGACATTAATAAGCATTACAACTAAAGCAAACACTAACATCAATTTTTACCTGCTGTCCAGTTAGAGGGTGAATACCCAGATACAGGCTCAATCTGTATTTCCATGTTGGATGAGGGACCATGATAGATACTTTTGGCTATGAAGCTACAGGCTGGATCAAACTGTAGACTACTGCTAATAACCCACAAATCATCTGTAAACAACAAATAAGTTAGAAAATAATACTTTGCAGTGATGAAAGAAGCATTTGGCCGATTGTGCTGAAGACACCCTGGTTCAAATCTGGCCAATGTTAGGTTTCTATTGGAGTCAGATCACACTGCTCCTCGAATAACCCTAGCATGAGAGTTAGGCAGAATATGGGACAATGTATGCTTTAAATTTCGGTACAGATACTGTGCTGCAGCTGCACTGGGCCCCTAAGGGCCCGACCAAAATTTGCAATTTCAAAATATTTGGAATTGGACAAGAAAAGAAAATTTATTCTATTATTTATTTATCAATAATAAGAATAACAACAACAATAACAATGACAACAGTGTTACAACAATGATGACAATAAAAATAATAACAATTTTCTTGATATTTAGCAAGTGGACAACCGTTTAAGAAAATTATGTGCTTCTGAAAGTAAGTACAGAGAATTAGGTGAATAGAAGAAAGAAGAGTAACTAACCTTTGGCATATGTAGATGAGACTTCCTTATAAGTTAACTTCAGAAACAATTTCTTCTGAACATTGTCTTCCAAGTTTTTTCTATACTTCTTTATCCAAGTCTTTAGGAAAAATTAGTATTAAACAAATATTTATTGCAATTTAGATATAAAGTGGTAGTTATCATAATTCCAATAATAATCACCATTATGAAAATAACTATAAGAAAATAATAAAATGGAATAGAATTTAGCATGTAAATTTCAAAGACATTAAAAACACCATAGCACCAACAATGTATCGTACATGTTTGTGCAGTAATCTTACCAAGATATGAATTTTATTGTTCATTTTTTATTGATGCCTGATGAAATTTTCAACTATTTTAAGTTTTTAAATATTGTAAACTTGTCAATTTTTTTGATGCATGTTTGAACACTTCATTATGAACTTTGCGCAATATAAAATAACAATAATATAATATTATAATTATAGTATCACTACCTGCAGGAGCAACATCAAGAAAAGAATCAGCAACCAATGTTATACAAATAAAAAAACTATAATACAATAATAATAATAACAAGAGCACTTAGCTGAGAGCATACCTCCGCCCAACGCAAAACCCTTTCTATAAAATAAACCTCCCAAAAAAAGTTCCTAATTTACTTCAACTACTACCACTACCACCCCAACTGATTTTGCTCCACTCCTCTTCAAAAACGCAAAATAACTTGCCAATCTCTTTCTATAAAATAATTCCTCAAAAATATGTTCCTACATTCCTACCACCAACCACAATCTACTTTTAAAAAGTTACACTAACAAAAGTTAGAGCTAATAAACAATCTCTCAAATCTCTTACTTTAAAAAATGATCCTCATATTCACACCATACGTCAGATCGTAACCAAAATTTAAACACTTCCTTATTAAAACATGACAAACTATTATGGAAAGTGTCATTTTCAACCATTGATCCAATTAAGAGATATTTAGGTGTGGGTCCTACTCAAATGTACTCCTGTATTTGTATTGTCACCAGAACTTCACAATTTCTACTTTTTAATTTGGCTAAACTTTTCACGAAGGTTTCAATCATATCATTTGATTATTTTTTGAAATATCTGGTCTGGGATGTTTTCCTTTGAGTGGTCCTCATATGCACACCTTACGCTGGTTGGACACTAAAATTTAATCACCTTATCCTTGGATTATACCAAACAATCCCTGTAACTGGCATTTAAACCAGTGCAGCTGTTTTTTTTTTAGATATTTTGTACACAAGAAACACACAGGACCTCAACAATTTTAATGATCCTCAAGTTCACCCCCTAATTTGGATTGTGACCAGCGCTTGATAATTTATTCCTTGTAACTTCTTTAAACTTCTAGGAAAGTTTCATTCATGTCAGTTGATTAGTTTTTGAGATATCTTGTCTAGGACAAAATCCTTTAAATGGTCCTCACATCCACACCCTAATCCAGACAGTCACCAAAATTTAATCACCTCATCCTTGGGTCATACCTAACAATCCCTGTAACTAGAATTTACATATATGCAGCCATTTTTGAGATAATTTGTACACAAGAAAAAAAAATGAAACAGCAAAGCATTACACGCACACACACATATACACACACACACAAACACATGAAACAAAAACTGGCGGAGATAATAATGAAAACAGCAACAATAGAACATAATAAATAAATAAATGATAATGACTTACAGGTAGATTAGGTTGATTGAAACCACCGCTTGCCTTCCTTATTAGCTGACACCTACAGTGTAATGCAAGTCCTAAGCCTTTCATGTAATTCCTAATTTGCATAGCTGTACTAAGTTTTGGAGCAAATGACGATGTTTTGCAGTCTTCTGTTTCCTTGTCTGGTTTATATTGATCAGCCCACAAGAAAAACTGTCAATTAACATATAATACAAAATAATAAAATTAAATTACAGATGGATCAACCCATTATTAGGATGTACATTATATGATTTTTGAAAAAATATATTATGCTAGCTGAGAGTTGAACCAATGACTACCATTTTTCCCTTGCCATTGTTGAGTAAGTACTGCTCTATGGGTCATCTGCATGACTTGACTAAGCAACTAACTACACAACTATGGATGCTATGCATGGTCATGATGATTTTGGAAGCTTCATCCAACAAACAAACAGCTGTATCAAAACCTTCCCCTCATATTAGAAAAAGTGAAGCAAACAAGATATAATGTAGTTAGATTTATATAGCGCTTTTATACTGAAATGGTCTAAAAAAATTACTCGATGTGTGGACTAGTTCTTACAGTAACTTGGTTCTCCCCTAAAGGTCTCTTCGGGTCTGAGCTACCGAGTAAATTGGTACCAGCTATTCTTGTCTGCCCACAAAATTGTAACTTGCTTGTCACAGTGTGCATCACTTTAACAAATTACAAGATGACTAATAATGATAATGAGTAAAATAAAAATCACATAAACTGACAATACAGTACATACTTTACCTTACACTGAGAAGATCTTGGTTGGCTGCATGTATAGAAAAATCTACCTTTATTAGGCCCATCTTTTTTAACACATATCATCTTAGCCATTGTGTTGTGCTGGCAAACTGGTGCGCCTGTATCTGTACCTGCTTTCTGGCCATCACTGCCTGGTATCAAGCCACTGATGTCCACCCTGCTAAGGGCCTGGTGATAACGCTGACTTAAACTAAACAACAGTATGTTCAAATGTTCTGTAAAGATAATATATATAAAATAAAATAAGATAAAAATTCATCATCATCATATGACCAATCTTATACATTTGTCACTGGCATTATAATTTTTATTACTGTTAGAAACACTACTAACAAATCCTCATCAAACTCAACATCATCATCACCACCATCATTCTCATCCTATCATTATCATTATCATTTTATAATGAACACACTATTTTAAATTAGTGATGATAATTCACTATTTTTAATTAGTGATGATAATTACCTCTAATTGCAGATGTCAAAGTTTCTTTATAAACTTTAACTCCTTCAAAAATGACTGGTATGACAGCCTGCCTTGTAGGGGCTGGACCACCATCAACCTCCTCCTTAGATGGGAATCTCAACTTGCTTCCAAACATCTATTACCAAAAAAATAACCAACATGAGGTGATTTAGGAGGAAGGTATTACATATCAACATTATCACACTACAGCATATTCGGATGATATACTTAAGACAATAACCTATAAATCAATAAGAAAATGTAATCATGCAATAAAACAAAAATGTGAGTAGCATTTAGATGAACTTATGCACAAATCTTGATATCTGAGTGCATGAGTCTGGACATCTACACCACCTTTCTAATTATTTACCTGTGAGCTACGCAAAGGGCTACAGAAAGCCTTCTTTTCACTTTTCTTCACTAGTTCAACAGTCCTGATACACGGTATTGCTCTATTCCTTTCAACTCCATAACTATTTGTTTTTTCCTTCACCCGCAGTTTTGTTGAGTTTCTACAGTCCTCCAATTGCACAAGAGATTTTACATGATTCTCAGTTTCCCCAGAGACATATAGTGTGTTTTGACTGTGAACTTCACTATTTTCTTGTGATTCAAACATTTCTGTCTGGATTTTAGTAAATGTTGGTGTTGGCTCCTGAACTGAGAGTGATTTTTCACTGTTTTCATAAAGCGTGTCAAAGACCTCTTTTACATCACTCCCAAAAAATTCACCAAGTTCATCAGCTGGTAAACAGAAGCAAAAGAGTAATTTAACAGCTTTCCTTAATTGGAAATGACTCCCTACAGGTAGTAAAAGAAAAGTATTAACTACCAACTTACTTAATGACTGATCCAAAGTTAATGTAATATCACGTGAAGTTTCATTCAAGTTGGTGGCAGCAACATTATCTGAACGTAAAACAAAGATAAAAATGTAGTATTGTAGCAAAGTAAGTTAAAGTTTTGGTTTAAACGAATTTTCAAATCAGTATGCAATATTGTATTACACTTTTATGTTGAAATAAATGCAGTTTAGCCATGCAATTTACATTCACAATATTAATTTATGGTTGGCTGGAACTTAATGCAAACTACTGACTATCCTCAGCCAGCCATGCTTATGACACTCGTGCATACATTATTGACAGAACGTAAAGTGGTTCACAGTACGTTATTAACTTAACAGTGAGATTCTTAATTGATCTTTCTGTTTTAATATTAGTCAGATATAGCCTATGATAGACCCTACAGTATTTTGTTATATAAATTTGTTTCCGGAATAAACAGTAGTTAGTTGACTGACTGATAATGCATACTCCTGTTGCTGAATTCTGAGTTTCACCAAGTAATTTAACAGGATTTTTGTAAATTATTTAAACTTACAGGTTGTGATCTAGTATTTTACCATAGTAATCTTGACCTAATGCTACCCTAAGAGTTCTTTCATAAATCCTAAGAAACCACTATACCTTCCTTTTCCTGTCTAAGAACACAAACTGCATTATTCCTGGTCCTATCAATCCCTAATAAATGTCCACTCCTCTCTTGCAGACAAGTTTCTGATGTGGTCATTGACATGTGTAGACTCCTAATATTACTTTGTACTTCTACATCTGGTGGTCGAGATATAAGTGGTTTCCTTAGTCTGGTGCTAAGACCTATATCCATATTGTTCTCATACCTGCGAGAACTACTATTATTACTGAATTTCCATATCTCAGCTCTTTGATTATTTTCCTGATCACATCCTACATATTCAAAATAATGTGAGACTACTCTGCTATGTGTTGAAGGGTTACACAAAGACTTGTCTGCATCTTCTTCTGTTGAGAACAAAGGCAATTGTGAGTTGCCTGTATGTCTATCATATGTATCCTTGTCATTAGGTATTGCAATATTCACAGTACTAAAACTCGGAACTTCTTGACAAAATGATGGTGTACATTTTTCAAATTGTTCCAATGCAAATCTACCATCCACAGGCACTCTCTGGTGCACTTTATTGCCTCCACCTTGTTCCTCTTCTGAAATCAAAGGTTCTGAAATGGCAGCTCTTGAATATTTTGATACATCAACTACATCATACAATAAGTTATCATCATTCTGGCTTAGGTAAGAGAAATCTGAATCAGAGTCAGGAATCTTCATATAGGGTTCACAAGTGCCATCATTCATAGGATGACTGGAAACATTAACTGGTTGTACGTCATAATGTGCTTTAGTATTGTTAATCATCAGCGGCTCAGAATTCAGATTGTAATCCAAGTCTATTATTGGGTTCCTACATTGACCTTCATGTTGAATTAATGTACATTTATCTATGCTGTTCTCCATGAATTCTGACACACTCATACTGCCTTTTTGCAGAGGGACTACATTTCTGCTTTGATCTGTGTTGTGTCTGCTGCATCCGTAGGAAAGTTTATCCTCCTGAACACAATGGGAACTAAAATTTTCATTACCATGGAGACATACTGAAAATTTATTCATGAATGGACTCTTAAACATTGAAAGTTGAGGCTCTGAATGGCATAAGGCAACATTTGATGCAGGTTGTAGAAGGCAGCTTTCCAGATTATCTAGAGAATCATTTTGATTACCAGTATCTAATTGGTAAATTAGTCTTTCATCTTCTGGAGTCGAATTATAACAATCAGAAGAAGGCTGATGAGAATTATTTAATGGTAGTGATCTCTTTGCTGTTTCACTGCACTTGGTACCTTTCCATCGATATCCGTCAATCTTCTTACTAGTAACCTGATGAAAGTATAGAAAATAAGTAATATTGAGTACTTTCAATTATTATTGTCCAAAATAAGTTTATCTTAGAAAAAAATTATGCAATAGATAACCCAATTTCCTGACCCTGTATCATTAACAGTGATGGATTTAAGGGGATAAAGGTAGTACATGCCCTGTCATTCAATAAAAACATGCAAGATTTTGACTTCACACTTGGTGTAAATATTAGGTGAGATGCATATTAATCACAAATCATATTCACTGTTCAGACAACTTACATCTAATAGTAATACACCTGATTTATTATTTCTTTTGTAATCATTCATGGTAAAGGCCGAACAGTGAGGTGTTGTTGCTGGAAGAGTGGCACTGACTTTCTCTTCCACAGGAAATAAAACTTCATATCTATTGAAGGTTTGTGGTGGTACTTGAGAGATAGTAGCTACAGTTGTATTGTAAATTTCAGTGTTCATGAAAGGAGAACATATATGCAACTTCTTTGCAGGTACTGAAGATATAGTGGAATCTGAAATAAAATATCATAAAGAGATGACATATTTTAGCACATTTTGAAAAATGTGCAACCTTCTCCACCCCTTTATACTCCTCATATCAAAATACTAATGATACTATTACGGTGTTGTGACAAATATAGAAGAAAAGATTTAATTATTCAAATTAAATACATTTTCTTTTGATATTTTAACTTGGGTTGCACTGTATTATTTGTTTATTACACCATTATGCCTCATTATTAAAGTCCACCTTTGGTGTGACACTCACCTTTGGCTGAATCATTTTTGTCAGTAGGTTCAATCCTCCAATTCACATGATCAGTGTCTTCTTGAAAAGTTACAGTTCTTTTTCTGCTTACTCTTAGTGGTTCCTGTCCAATATCGCAGATTTCTTTCCATTCAGCTTCCTCATTCTGAATAATATCATCAAAGGAAGAAGATTGGGACACATTTCCTCCTTCACTTTCACCGCTATCTGAAATGGTATAATCTGAAAATCTTTCCTGGGAAGGATGGTCATGTTTAATATCAGGGGATTCTATCATTGCCCATTTTCTTGAAAGTGGGCTACAAACTGGGAAATCAAATGTATCAGCAGAGGTCACAGTTTCTTGACTACTGTTAACTGATGAAACTTGGTGTTGGTTGCTGTCAGCATTCCAATCTAGATCATGTCCTCCCACTTCCATTACGTCATTCTCAAAATGTTTGTTTTTCTCAAAACTTTGTTCCACAACCCTCTGCTTTCTATTCTCTGATACATTAATTTTCTCTGATAGAAGACTGCTATCTTCTAATGTTATATGAAGAGCTTCAAATGAGATGGCTTTCTCCTCTGACACTATATTACCATTTTCTTCTAACCTTAATTTACCAACCTCCTCTAGTACACCAAAACTATCCTCCTTTGTCTTTAATTTGCCAATATCTTCTGTTACAAGACCCTCCTCTTCTGGTGTCAAATTACCATACTCTTCTGATGTAATACATTCATTCCCTTCTAACATAATTGTATCAACATCTTCTGATACTGAATAAATATCCTTCTCTGACACCAATTTACCAACATCTTTTTCCGACATTAATTTGCTGTTCTTGTTTAATGCAATATTAAGGTCATCCTTGTTTGATATCAAGTTCATACCATCCTTTTCTGATGTAACATTGCCAAGGTCATCCTTGTTTGATATCAAGTTCATACCATCCTTTTCTGATGTAACATTGCCATTTTCTCCTAATATAATTGTGCTAACTCCTTCTGGTACAGTATGACCACACTCCTCTGACATCAATTTGCCAACATCTCCTGAAACTAAACAACCATAATTTTTTGTCTGCATTTTGCCAACTTCTGATATTGCAAGAGCCTTCTTTGACATCAACTTCCTATCTTCTTCTGATATAAATGTACAATCCTTTTCTGATGTTATATTGCCATTTTCTTCTAACATAATTGTGTCAACCTCTTCTGATACAACATGACCATAATCTTCAGAAATAAATTTGCCAACCTCTGCTGAAACAGTACAACTATCCTTTTCTCTGAATATTTTGCCAACTTCTTTTGATATTACAAGATTATCTTCTTTTGTCATCAATTGTCCATCCTCATTTGCCTTTTCAAGAACATTTTTCTTTGATATCAGTTTGATATCCTCTTTTGATATAATAAACTTACCCTCATCTGCTCTGAATTTTTTATCCTCTTCTGATATACCTGTATCCTCCTCTTCAGATGCCACATTGCCATTATATTCTTCAATAACTATTTCAACGTCTTTTAATATAGAAGGGCTATCCTTTTCTAAAATTGATTTTACACCTTCTGACACAACATCCTCATCTGATACTGCATAACCTCTATCATCTAAAACCAATTGTCCATCCTCCTCCAACATCAATTTGGCATCTGTTGTTAATTGGTCATCCTCATTTAATACTGATTTACCCTCTCTTGATGATAATATAATGCATTCTTTTCTTGATATACCTGAATCCATCTGATGTTTATCAACCTCCTTTCCTGTCTCATTGAGTTCTGAACAACAAACCTCCTTTCTATACACTGATTTGATAATTCTTTGTTCTGTCCTATCAAACCTTATACTAATATTATTCTTATGTTCTTTTTGATTTTCATAACTAACTTCTTCATTTATATCTTCAATATCTGCTATTCTATGCTCAATATCAAAGACTTCCAAGTTCTTCCCTAAATTGCTAAATGTCAAGCCTTTGTCTTTCTTCCTAAAAAAATTCTTCTCAATAAATTTTTCTCTTTCTTTTAATTCCTGTTTTCTAGCTAAGTAAAAATCATTCTGATGCGGAGACAAAATGACTGTACCTTCATAAGCATCAAGCATATCCACAACTTTCATGTGATTTACATCACATTCAGTAACCTTCCAAGAATTGTCATCAATGGTCTTTACATCCGAACAAATTCCATCAGATTGCTTAAGAGGTACATGAAATTTTTTCTTTTTGTTGCTGAGTAGTTCCAAAATCTGGGCTCTATTTCTCTTCAAACCTGGACGACTGTGGGTATTAGTTTCACATTCTTCATTTTCAAAGTCACCTTCCACATCTGATGTTATTTTATAGCTCGGTTGATAGATATTTTGTGTGACTTTCTTTGAATAATCTAAGGAGTCACAACATATTCCTGTAAGATCAGCTTGACATGGTATATCAGTATCTATGTAACTACTATTTACTGGTTCATTTGAAATATTGACAGGTATCACTTTTTGATGATTTTCATTTTCTGTTTGAGCTTTATAATTTTTAGAGACTAGGTTTTGTTCTTGAGAGGTGTGATGACCATACATTAAGTTATTGTTCTTGCTTTTGAAATCTGAGTTTTTAAATATCTTTTTACTTGACAACATATTATCTGTCCTGCATCCACTATTCTTGTTAGAATGAGAATTTGAATGAAAGTTTTTGTCAATTTGCTGAAGTGATGGCTGGTTATTTCCTACAGAAGTATCAGATGTTGAGAAACCCCGATGATGCACAGTTGAAAATGGTGTGGTGAATAATGGACCATGTTTAGACTTTTGTCCTCCTCCTACAGGTGTTTCAAGTGGACTACCTTTGCTACCAATGTCAGGTGTTTTGTTCATTTGCCTTGGAGCTATAAAATCCTTGAAGTAAATAATAAAAAACACAAAAACTTTAACCAAAATATCATTATGCACTTAACATATGTTTAACAAATTAAAAATGAACATTCTATACAGTTCGCCCCCAAATTCGAAATCACCTTGGAAACCTAAAAATTTGGGGTGGTCTTGAAGTTGATCTCAACAAAGAGGGTTGGCTAGTGTTAATAGATTGAAGATTGGTCTTTGGTTCTTTGAAAAACTGGTCTCAAATTAGAGGAGTCTTGGAACTAGAGGGGTCTGGAATTCGAGGGTGCACTGTAGGTTATCTGCTGTTGAGAATTTGTGAGATAAAAGATATATGAACAGGTTTATTTTTCTTATATACCATTCTTTTTCTTTTGAATGTCTTCACAAATTTAGGCTGAGCCGTCTGTACTATGTCTTCTCTTCTAGGTATAGTTTGAACATTAGTACCACCATCTTCTACTTTCACATCATCAACTGTTATCAGATATTTTGCACTCTCAAGGTCTGCACCAATATACACCTTCAAAAAGAGGAAACTTCAAAATTTAAAGAAAAAAATATGGTGTTTATTAAAATAGTACTTAAAAATTAGGACAAGTGACTTTCTTGATTTTACTGATGATATTTTGCAGGTATAAAAATTACCAGTAGCCGAAATCAATTTGCGACCTACTGACCTCTTAAGCACACATGCATACTGTAACTGAAGAAGAGCTAGGCCTATCGTGCTTATGGTATTTAACACATTTCATTGCAGTGTATTTTACCTGCCCTGATTTTACTATAGTTGGTATCTTTTAACTGAACATTGATTATTACAGAATAACACGTTTTCATATGTATTAATATTAATGGCACTTTAATGATAGTGACGGACTAGAGCTAGCCGATTTTTTATGATTTTGTAAGTTTGTGACCCACTGAAAACTTTTCTGTAAACAACTGGTGGGTTGCGGCCCACAGTTTGCGGATCATTGGTCTATGTAATGGTACTTACTTGAGCTGGCTTAATGTATAGTGTATCTATAGAAGTGTTTTTGTCATCATAGAGTTCTGCTTTATTGTCTTGAAGATTCACCTTCAACTTTCCATCATGCCAAATTTTGCTTTTCTTTGTTTTTTGATGAGTATAAAGTACCTTCAAATTGAATGGAAATGAAAAATGCAATGGTATATGTCAAACAAAAAATTGACAAAAACAACTTAGTTGAAATCAACATCATAACACTCTAGTTTGTAATATAGAGTACCACATTCATATCGTCACGATGCCAGGTAGCGCTCTCTGTTGTCAACAGACGTAGCTTACCATTCATTACGCCTGAATGACTGCATAGGCTTTCTGGAATCTAATATTTTACCATCAAAATGTACTAAAAACACAAAAGCTCGCATTATATTACTTATCTAACACACATTTAATTAATCATCAATTAAAATTTACAAAGAAAAAGTAAGATACAACATCTTAATAATTACGTTAGAAATTGGGATCAATGGTTTGTTAGTGGCGAAAATGGCATCAGGTTGAACACATTTTGCAACGATAGCAACAAAGTAGTATCACGTTGTATCGTATCGTGGCGTAACACTGTAGTACTCTATAAGATTTAAAAAAAGACAAAATAGGCCTACAGTATTTAGCATGTTATACTTACAACAAAGGTAGGTTTAGTACCAGGATTAGATAACATCTTCAGCAAGGAATCAATGACATGACACCAATTGGTGATGATACTGATTTTAGTAAAATATATCAGAGCTGTCAAACAAAAAAAGTAATCATGCTGTCAAAGAACAATATTTACTGATAATATTAATCAAATGGTGTACAGAATTTGTTAATCAGAAGAAAAAAACCGCTTCCTAAATTGTATAGTCCAGGGGAAGTAATATTAACTTACTTGATACTTGATATTATTAGCGGGAAAGGATTATGCCTCAAGAGCCATAACAATCGATCTAATCTTGCATTAAAACTGTTCACCGAGGGAGCCAGCACAACATGCTCGGGGAGAGAATTCCAAATATTTAATAATTCTTTGTGAAAAGAAATCTTTAGGTGTTGTTTTTTAAACATTTTTCTAGGGTATACATTTCTGGGGTATATATTCTGGTACTTCCGTTTTTTCAAAATAGATTGGGGTCCAGTATTTCAAAATTGTTTAAGATTTTGAAAACATCAATGATGAGGTCTCCACATATCCTTCTATTGAACAACGGAAATGGTTGCTGGACAGAACGGCAAAAAACCAAAACGGAAATAAGTCAAAACGGCAATGAGGAAAACGGCAAAAAACCAAAACAGCAACACTTTTCAACCAGAACGGCAATAAGTCAAAACGGTAATAAGTCAAAACGGCAAGACCGAAACAGCAATAGGCCTAAGTTCAAAACGGCAATAAACCAAAATTTATAGGCCTACGTTTATTTTTATCAAAACTATATTTATATTTCCAATAATTTGTGTATTTTGATATGATACCAGCAGAGACGATAGCTAAATGGTGGCATGTGCAGAGGAAGTTACAACATAGTTGTATTAACTTCAAAATGCAGACAAAATAAGGCTAAACAATTTATGTCATAAAAGTAAAAATGCACGAAAGAAAAAAATAATAATAATAAATAACACTTTAAAGAAGAAGAGGAACAACAATAATAATAATAATAATAATAATAATAATAATAATAATAATAATAATAACAATAATAATAACAATAACAAAAATAACATACAATACAATTCAATAGTGAAAAGACTGCAATAAAAGCAGTGTACATTTAAATAATTACAACCTTAAAATACAGATAAAATGAGGCTAAACAATATTATGCCATGAAAGTGTAAAAACTAGGGAAAAATAATAATAAATAACACTTTAATATAATATAGGCCTAGTCATGGATGTGTAAAAAAAAACAAAAAAAACTTACTAACAAAAAACAAAACACGATTCAGAAAATTATAAACTGCTGCCCGCGCCCGGTGGCGCTTTATTCTTGGCATTGATTTTGCACCTTTGCCGTTTTGGTCTATGCCTATTACCGTTTTAGTATTGTCATTGCCGTTTTGGTCTATTGTCGTATTGGTACTTATTTTTGCCGTTTTGGTTTATTGCCGTTTTGGCCTGCTCCCACGGTAATAGCTCAAGCATCGTCAATCTTTGATGGTAAACCAAATACAAACAAAAATTGTTTTAGCCTCATTTTGTCTGTATTTTAAAGATTTGTTTATTTATTTGGTTTATTGCCATTTTGGTTTATTGCCACTATGACTTATTGTCATGTTGGCATATTGCCTTCCTGGTAAAAAAGTATTGCTGTTTTGGTTTATTGCCATTTTGGTTATTGCTGTTTTGACTTATTGCCGTTTTGGTTTATTGCCGTTTTGACTAGAAAACATTTTTTAGGACTAGGCCTAGGCCTAGACTAGGACTAGGTTGGTCTAGTGTAGAGAGGGGCCTTGGCCTATAGCCTAGGGCCAGTCCAAGCCTAGTAGAAGGAGTAGGCCTAGGCCTACTAGACCTATAGGCCTAGGCCTGGTCTACTAGGCTAGGCTTAGGCCTACTACACTACTACTACTACTACTAGGCCTACTACTATAGGCTAGTGCTAGACCTAGGCCTACCTAGGCCCATTTACTAGTGTATTCTAGACCATCTCCCTGGACGCCTAGGCCTATCCTAGGCCCATAGGTTAGAGCTAGCCTACAGTGCCAGGCCTAAACCTAGTAGTAGTAGTAGTAGTAGTAGGCTAGTAGAGCCTACACCCATCCCCGCCTTCCTCTCTAGGTAGGCCTAGGCCCTAAGCCTACCTGGCCCTAGCCTAAACTAGGCCTAGGGCCTAGTCAGAATAAGGCCAATTCAGTATTCATGAGTAAATTCGAATCATCTAGCTTTAATACATACCAATGAATGTTACACTGTCAGTATCCTAGTAATGAATTAAATCGTCAAAGACAGAGCCTAGCCATCCCCGACCTATCGCATTATTGGTGAATGTTTTGTTTTGCTTCTAGTACGTCGTCTGCATGTTTTAAGTCGCGCGCCGAGTTAATATTGTATGCTGCCCTCTGTGCATGTAAGTTCAAGAGCGCTGGTAGACGGTGTACTAATTTATTATAATAATATTATATATTAATTATTGTTGTCATCAATAATATAAATATGATATTTATCATAATAAAAATAT